CTCCCTCCTCTCCTCTCCGCACTAGTGCTCCCCTCCCCCTCCTCTCCTCTCCGCACCAGTGCCCTCCTCCCCCCCCTCTCCTCTCTGCACCAGTGCCCTCCTTCCCCCCCGATGCGTGTGCTCTTAGCTCTGTTGTGTGTGTCCTGGCCTGTGTGCCCTCATGCAGGAAATCGGTGCCTTGCACGCATGTGCATGGCTGTTGGAAGAATTCTGACTGGTTCATGTTATCAGTGAAAATAAGTGAAAACACTCCAGTGTCCACAGGAGAGGAGGTGCTTGCGTCTCCTCTTCACTCTCTCGCTACTTCTCCGAGGAGTCTGTTTATTTCAGGACCGTTTAAAAAGTGCCCTTTCCTCCAGACCACCTAGCGTGGTGCCGGGCACTTACTGGGCCTTGCCCAGTGCCTGATCATTGACTCGTTTCCTTTAGTTTCCCTCAGTTACCACTCAATGCTGCTGCCCTTGTATGTGCTTTATTCCTTTTTTCCATTCTAATCTTGTTTGCTGCCCTTAATGCTTTGAGGTATTATTTGGCACATAGTCATTGAATTTTTTTTTAATGTTGGTTATCTCAACAGCATGTAGCTATTCGAGGAACCTAAGGAGTTAGCGGTAAACAGGACAAATAAGGCCTCTGACTCTAACAGACTCTATTTGTTTGGTCGTTATTACTGCCTGCATATTGTTGAGGCATAACTTAGAGTGATGTATGGAAACCTCAAGTGTGCGGCTGGGTGAAATTTGACACGTGTGTAACACCTGTGTGCGCACCCAGGTCAGGGAGCGGACTTCACACTCCCCTCTAAGGAGGTGAACGAGAAACAACAGAGAAGCAAGGGGCAGGAGGCGGTGGGGTGATTAGACTGAGTGCTGGTTCTCTGAGGAGGGGAGGGCTCACCTGAGTCTGAATGACTGGAAGGAGCCGGCCATGTAGGGATCGGGGGTGGGCGTGGGGGGTGCCTGCCTTCCAGCTCAAGGGGCAGCCGGCACAAAATTCCTGGGATAGCCAGGGGTGCGCCACAGTGGGCTCAGAGAGTCAGAGGGCACCGGTGTGGTCTGAGCACAGGAAGTGACAGGGAGGGGGCAGTGAGGTAGCAGCGAGGGGGCAGGTCCTAGAAGGCTGCGTAAGCTCTGCTCAGGAGTTTGTTTTGTGTTCAGAGCACAGGAGAGAGTCATCCGAGGGCTGCAGACAGGAATGGTGCTGTTTGGTTTTTAAAGACCTCATTCAGGGTTTTGTATAGACAGTATTGTTAGGGCGCCTGGGTGGCTCAGTTGGTTAAGCAGTTTTGGCTCAGGTAGGAGTACCTGACTGGCTCAGTCAGTAGAGTTCACAATGCTTATTCTCAGGGTCATGAGGTCAAGAGCCACATAGGGTATGGAGCCTATGTTAAAAAAACAAAACAAAACTATTATATGGGGTAAGGGAGAAAGCTATCTTCCAAGCATGAGGTGTGGTGATAAGTTTTGAGTTTTATTTTGAAAGTAGGATAAAATAGGATTTGCTGATAGATGACAAGGAAGAGATGGTAAGAGAAAAGAAAGGAATCTGGGTAACATTTAGACTTTTGGCTTGAGCAGTTTCCCATGTAAAAGCCACAAGAAACTAAGTAAAAACCTCCAGGGCTGGAGTGCAGAAAGGAAACTTCCAGCACATCGTGTGCAGGCCCTGGGCCCCCGCGAGCAAGGCCCCACCCACAGGTTGTCTAGAGCACAGTGAGCATCGGCTATAACCCATCTGAATGTAGTGTGGGACCCCGTAAGAGACACAGGGCGGAAGGGGAAGGACCAGAAAGCCTGGGGTTGCTTCCTAGGAACGCACTGGTGCTGGTGTCTGGGTTTTAGGAGTGTGGAGATGGAGGCAGTGTGGGGGTGGGAAAGGCCTCGCCGTGGCCGCGATGCTGGAAGTCGATGCTGGAAGTCGGACAGATGCCGCGGGGAGCTTGAGCACACGCTTCAGGCTGGTCCTCTCTCCTCAGGGACTAGTAAGTGGCGCCACCTGCTGAGAATGCGCCCAGGGTGTCGTGCAGGGCGTGTGCGGAGAGACCGGAGGAGGGGATGGGCTGTCCCTTGGTTAATGCGAAGTGCGCATCGGGTCAGGGTCACGAGTTCATAGTGAGACAACACAGCATGGTCTGTTTTTCCCCCCCTCCAGCCACTTTGAGCAGCATGAGGAGGAAGAGTGAAGGGTTGAACTTAACCAGGGTTAGGGTTTTGCCCGGTGAAATGGTGGAGAGTTGAAGGTGTGAGCAAGGGAATGATTATAACGTTAAGTTGGGCGAGGGAGGTCAGGGCTCAGGGAAGGTAAGGGATGGCAGGAAGGTGTTAGGATCACGATGGCGTTGAAGAGAAGGCTGAGCTGGATGCTAGGAGCGGATGTGTGGAGAACTCGTGTTTGGCTGTGCGGCTGGAGAGGAGCATAGTCATTGGAAGGAGCATGTCCAGGGCATGATCATGGACATGGGAGGCTGAGGTGGATTGGATGACAGGGCCATTGGAAGCGGAGAGGTCAGGGTGTGGATGTCGGACCATAGGGAGTTAGAACAGGGAAGCACATGAGGTCAGTGGCCTGTGACTGCCAGCTGGAGCTAGATTCTGGGATCTAGTTGGGTGGCTCCTGGTGCTCACCGGTCACTGCTAAGCTCTGCTACTTACTGCATGTGCTGTCATCAGGATGCTGTTGATACAAAGGGCCTCTCGCACTGTGGTTTTCTTTTTGTGTTGTATTTGCTAAGCTTTAAGTTCCTTTTTGGCCAGAACCATTTTTTCTGTCTACATATTCTTAGCACCTAGAACAGCACCTGATGCTTCCTGTGTTGCTGTGTGTACACCTGCTGAGTTGTGGTGTTGTGTATGTATCCGTATGGTCCATGTATGTTGAATCGAGCTTCTTGCAGCTCCATCTGTGGATTTGGAAACTGTGGAAATAGATTGGTTTTTCAGATTGAGGGCCCGGGAGGGCAGGGAGCATGTTTTATGCAACTTCTGCTTTCTCTGCCCAGCAGCACACTCCATGGTGTTTGGTAGAGGCATCTGCATCTGTCTGCATCTCATTGTCTGTATCTGTGCATGTGTGTCTATATCATTGCATTCCACGGTGAGAACAAAGAATTCTGTGGTTATCTCTGCTTTGCACTAGAGCGCCTGTCAGCTTTCCCCTCCTTCCTTGACCACCACAGGATACAGTCTATGACGTTATTTCTCATGATACACTAAATAGGGGCTCCCCTAGCAGCTCTTGGTTCTCGACATTCTTTTTTTTTTTTTTTTTTTTTTTTTTTTTCTAGGAGAGAGAGAGACAGCGTGAGCAGGGGAGGGTCACAGAGAGAGGGAGTCACAGACTGAAACAGCCTCCAGGCTCTGAGCTGGCAGTCAGCACAGAGCCCGACGCGGGGCTCGAACCCACGAACCACGAGATCATGACCCAAGCAAAAGTCGGACGCTTAACCGACTAAGCCACCCAGGCGCCCCTCTCGACATTCTTTTATAGTGGTGTGTTAAACGTGATGCGTTTGCTTGCTGCTTGCTTCCTGCAACTGATAGGTCTATTTAGACTGTCCCTTGGCAATGTATCCTTTCAGCTTTTCATTCAGGCAGTGGAAAACCAGCAGAAGTTTAATCTGTTTTAATATAGAATCATCCAGAAGCCCTCAGAGTAGTTAAAATCAGGTGTGGATAATCATTCAGTGAGCTCACATTTTCATATTAAAGATTATTTATTTGTTAAGATATTTCTTTATAGGGTATGTGACAGATTATTTTAATGCGGTTTGGGAAAGCTCTAAATCTCTATTGTTTCAGTAGTGACTTTGTATTAAAATCACCACTAACCCAACTTAATCCTTTTGGTTAATTTAGGAATTTTTTAAAAATTTAGGATTATTTGATAAAGGACAAATGTTTTAGGGTTCCTCTTTCAACTTTTAAAAAGTAATTTCAAAAAATCTATATTGAAAACAGTCTGTTTTGAAGAAAATACTGAGAAGCACAAAGTAGAACATGAAAATTGCTAATAATTCCATCACTAAGATAATTATAATGGACATTTTGATGTATTTACTGTAGTCTTTTTCTGTGTTTAGATACATATTTTCTCCTACAAAAAAGGGGCTGTATTGCTTTCTAACTTTTTCACAATAAAAAAAATGTATCAGGAACAGTTTTACGTCCTTTCCTTTTTCTCAGCCTCTTGTGTTGAACGTGTGCAGAGAATTCTGTCGTGAGGTGGGCCGCTGTGCTCAGTCAGTGCCCCACTGTTTAAATCACCCATTTTCACTTTTGTCAGTCACGCTAGAATGAACATCCCTATTGGACATATCTTGATTATTTCTTTAGAAAAAATTATTAGCAGTAGAATCTTCAAAGTTTTAAGTGTTTGTACTTTTTAAATTACTCTCTAGAAAGAATGTAGCAGTTTGTGCTCCAAGTCGTAATACATGAGAATATCCACTTACCTTTCCAGCACGGATGTGATCGTTACCTCTGCTTTCCCAAGGCACAGAAAAGAAATCGTGTCTCACTATTGTAATTTGCCTCTTATTAGGCCTTCTGCGAAGAGTTGGAATCAATGATACAGGAACAATTTAAGAAGGGGAAGAATCCCACAGGCCTGTTGGCATTACAGCAGATTGCAGATTTTATGACCACGAACGTACCGAACGTCTACCCCGCAGCTCCTCAAGGGGGGATGGCCGCCTTAAACATGAGTGAGTAGTTCTGACTGCATGTATGTTCTGTCGTTTTGTAGGTGAGGTTTTCTGACGGTTATGGAGCACCGGGGTGGGGGGCTCAGTCAGTTAAGCATCCGACTATTGATCTCAGCTTAAGTCTTGATCTCAGGATCGTGAGTTCAAGCCCCGTGTTGGGCTCTGCATTGGGTGGGAAGCCTACTTAAAAAAAAAAAAAAATTCCTGACAGATTCTTACATGTAATAGATAAGTAAGCAGTGTAACACATAGAACTGAGATTTTTGAAAATTAATATTTTAGTTACAGTAAAAAGGCTGTAAGTCTGAAAGTCTTGAGTGTAGAGGCCTCCCTCTTTTATGAGCCAATGAGACTTTATATTTCAGGCAGAGGACTTTTTATGTGGCTCTTCAGACCTTTTGTGAACTAAAATTAATCAGAAACCATGCTTGTTGAGTAGCACATCAGTTTTGCCTGAACTTACTTCAGTCAGGCCAACGTTTCTTACCCACCGTTCTTTACTGCTGTTTCTAAGTGAGCGAGAAACAGAAACAACGAAAGAAAGCCAGGGGGAGAATGTTGGATGGGTGAATGTGAGCGAAGAACAGGGAGCTATGCAGAGGGGGGGAGCTTTGCCACGGCTGCTGAATCTGTAAGCGTTCACACGGCAGGGTGAGCCCAGGGCAGCGTGAGCGTCGGGTCCTCCGACCTGCTGTGTGCTCTGTCCTGGCCAGTGGCTGCTGGTTCTGGTTGGATAGTCAGCTGCTGCTGCTGCTTTTTAAAAAAAAATTTTTAACGTTTATTAATTTTTTTTTTTTTTTTTTTAATTTCTAGGAGAGAGAGAGAGAGACAGCGTGAGCAGGGGAGGGTCAGAGAGAGAGGGAGTCACAGACTGAAACAGGCTCCAGGCTCTGAGCTGGCAGTCAGCACAGAGTCCGACGCGGGGCTCAAACCCATGAACCGCGAGATCATGACCTAAGCGAAAGTCGGACGCTTAACCGACTAAGCCACCCGGGCGCCCCTAACGTTTATTAATTTTTGAGAGACAGAGCACGAGCAGGGAAGGGGCAGAGAGAGAGGGAGACACAGGATCTGCAGCAGCTCCAGGCTCTGAGCTGTCCGTGCAGAGCCCGACGCGGGGTCATGACATGAGCCGAAGTCGCACGCTGAACCAGCTGAGACACCCAGGTGCCCCTCGATAGTCAGCTTCTGATGGGCCAGCATAAGGCACTGGCTTCTGTTAAGTCACCTGGCATTTGCGATTTGCCTGTCAGTTCCATAACGTTCTTAGAAGTTGACTGACACCCACCTGAGTGATGCAACCATTAATGTCCAGAGAGCGATAAAAATAACATTTAATTCACCAGCTCACACTTCTGCTCTGAAGTCAAACAGTAGTCAGTCAGTTTTTCTTATTTTCACCTGGATTTTTAATGGAATCCAGCGCTGTCTGATATGAATTAGATAATAAAAGGATGATGTAATATATTTACTTGCATATTGTCTTCTCATCAGAGAAAAGGAAATTTTATGTCAGTAATGTCACACCGTGAAAAGAAAGAATGAAATCTAATTTCAATTATATCTAATGGTATGTTTCTTAAAAATACAAATTTAAAAATAAAACATTACAGCCTTTGTTGTAAAATATATAGAGATGGGATAGAACAGAGTGATCTATAACTTACGAAAGGTTTTAAGGTGAATGAATACCTTTATAACTCCTACCCAGTTAAGAATTAAACCTCATTGCTCACATGGCCTATCCCCTATCATCCTCTCCCACCATCTTTTAAGAATATGTATTTATTTTGAGGGGGGGAGAGGGGCAGAGAGAGAGAGGGAGAAAGAATCCCAAGGAGGCTCTGCGCTGCCAGCATGGAGCCTGATGAGGAGCTCGAGCTCATGAACCATGAGATCATGACCTGAGCCAAAATCAAGTTTTGGACACTCAACGGACTGAGCCACCCAGTTGCACCTAAAAGATTTTATTTGTAAGTAATCTCTTCATCCAACGTGGGGCTCGGATTCACAACCCCGAGATCAAGAATTGTATGCTCAGGGGCATCTGTGGGGCTCAGTTGGTTAAGTGTCCGACTTCGGCTCAGGTCATGATCTCACGGTTCGTGTTCGAGCCCTGAGTTGAGCTCTGTGCTGACAGCTAGCTCAGAGCCTGGAGCCTGTTTCGGATTCTGTGTCTTTCTCTCTCAGAAATAAATAAAAAATTTAAAAAAATTAAAAAAAATAAAGAAGCATGCTCTACTGACTGAGCCAGCTGGGCACCCAGGAACCTCCAGTTTGGCTTGTAACCACTGCCTTGCTTTTTCTTCATGGTTTCGTCACTCAGATGGTCATCCCTAAATATTTTGGTTTAGCTTTTGTCTATTAAAATTTTTTTAAAATCTTTATTTATTTTTGAGAAAAAGAGAGTGAGCGAGCAGGGGAGGGACAGAGAGAGAGAGAAAGAAAGAAAGAAAGAGAATGAATCTGAACGAGGCTCCAGGCTCTGAACTGTCAGCACAGACCCCAGTGTGGGGGCTTGAACTCATGAATGTGAGATCTGACCTGAGCTGAAGTCGGATGCTCAACCTACTGAGCTACCCAGGCACTCCTTTTCTCCTTGAGTTAAAGAAAATAGGTTTAAGGCCCTGTAGAGTTTTTTTGGCTGAATTTTGCTGATTCCCTCTCCACGGTGCTGCTAACATGTTTTTCTTTTTGTCTTCTGTATTTATAGTAAGTTGGTAGTTGGATCTAGATGCTTAAGTGTGTTTGGATTCAGTTTTTTGGCAAAGCCTACTTTGTAGGTGGTACTGTTTTCTGTCAGTAGTAGGCACATAGTCTGGTTGTTTCTTTTTTTGCGTTAACAGCCATTGATGCTCAATATATAGATCCATTAATTTAATAAAGGTTCTAAGATGGTGATGTTCTATCATTCCTTCCTTGGTACTTACTAAATAGAATATTTCTATAAAGAGAAACTTCCTGGGAAATGGGGCATGGCTGGAAAGGGGCCATGCCCTTCCCCATCACTCATTTCATGTTCAAAGGGAGCCTCTTGCTAAACTACTTGTAGATGACCTGTTTCTGGGTCTGGGTGGTAGCAGAGCACTTTGCTCGCTGCGATCTGCTGACCATCAGGCATGATGGTCATGCCCTCAGCAAGGAGCTTGCCCTCAACAGCTGTTTTTGGTTACCCAGTGTGGTCTAACCCTTTTCAGAATAAGAAGTTGGTTTCCTGTCATCTAAGATGACCAATTATTATTTTTTAGTATTACTTTAAACTCATAGATTTAAATATATTTAATGTGTTTCAGAACGTTACAGTTACTTGTTGTGATACTAACACTGTCCAATCTTTGATCAGTGGAAGTCTCACCAGGTTGACCTCTGAGCCTAGTGCTTTGACAGTTTTTAAGCCATCCCCCACGAGGAAATGTTCCAGGGTCCCCTAGTACACTTCCTGCCCCAGATCTGGGATCAGCCATTTCTCTAAGAAATCTTTATTTCCGGGGCGCCTGGGTGGCTCAGTCAGTTGAGCGCCCGACTTTGGTTCTGGTCATGATCTCACGGTTTGTGGGTTTGAGCCCCACGTTGGGCTCTGTGCTGACAGCTCGGAGCCTGGAGGCTGCTTCGGATTCTGTGTCTTCCTCTCTCTCTGACCCTCCCCTCTCACACTGTCTGTCTCTCTCTCTCAGAAATAAATAAAATATTAAAAAAAAAAATCTATTTCTTTTTGTGGGAAATGGAAATTGGGTACTAGGTATGCTCATTGCTACTGGATTACTCATTCTTTTCTAGGCCTTTTTAATGGACATAACTAATATATATTTATTATGTAACATAATAATAAATATATATTATGTGAATTATATGGCATATTGTTGGCCCACTGGAATTTTAAGTATATTGGAATTATGCTCATAGTTCTAATCAAAATTCAGTGCTAAAGGGTTTTTACTGAACCTTTTCTATCTAACACTTATTTTCCTGTCTTCCACAACAAGAATTCTGGCCTTTCAGGACAACCAGGAATAACAAAACCAGAATATTACATAATTACTCATTTGTTTTCCCATATATCACAGGCAGTACCCATACTCTACCAACAATCTGTTTTCTTTTCATGATTTAAAATAGTTACATTCTGTGTTGTCAGAGCATATTGCATGTTATGATCTCTCTCTTATAATGTTTCTTTAGTGTTACAATTAATATTATAAGAAATATATCTGACCACTCACCACCAGCCCCTATACCCATGTACCCGCAGCATATTGGTTGTCTGAAGTGCCTCTGAGCAGAGGTCTCAGGAAAGACTTGTGGAAACAATACTCTTTGAGTTCTTGCCTGCTGTGGCCTCTGTACATCAGTATTAATCGAGTTTGTTTCGTTAGGGTATAAAACGCTAGACTCCCATTTTCTATATGCATCTTAAATAGATAATTTTCTTCTGTCTCGAAGCACAGCTGTTAAAATTGAAGGTACTCTCCATATCAGTGACCTGGTCTCTTTTCCTGGGTGTTCAAAGTACTTTTTTCTTTCTAGAGTCCAGCAGTTTTATCAGAATATGTCTTAATGTTGGTCATTGTGGGTTAATTTTCTCAGATGATGCGCTCTTCCAGATCTTTTGTATTTTAGCAATATTGAATTGGTTTTTAGTATTTATTCTGTTCCCTGTTGTTTCCTACTTGAGGATTCCTGTTATATGCGTGTTGGAGTTTCTTTGTCTTTAACTGTCGCTTGTTCTCAGATCCTTTTTTATTGCTTCATTTCTTTATGATTTAAAAAAACATCCATTTCATGTTCTTCTCTATTTTAGTTTAGTATGTATGTATGTATTTAGAAGATTTTGTTTCATTTTATTTTTTAATTTTAGTATGTTATTTTTTAATTAATTAATTAAAAAATTTATTTATATTTTAGAGAGCAAGTGAGTGTGGGTAAGGGGGAGAGCGAGAGGGAGCGAGAGTATCCCTTCTAGACTCTGCACCGTCAGTGCAGAGCCCAGCTTGGGGCTCAAACTCACAAGCTGTGAGATCATGGCCTGAAGCGAAATCAAGTGAGATGTTTAACCAACTGAGCCACCCAGTCTTCTCTAGATTTTATTAAAAAAATTTTTTTTAATGGTTTATTTATTTCTAGGAGAGAGAGAGAGACAGCGTGAGCAGGGGAGGGTCCGAGAGAGAGGGAGTCACAGACTGAAACAGGCTCCAGGCTCTGAGCCGGCTGTCAGCACAGAGCCCGATGCGGGGCTCGAACCCACGAACCGTGGGATCATGACTGAAGCAAAAGTCGGACGCTTAACCGACTAAGCCACCCAGGCGCCCCTAGATTTTATTTTTAAATAGTGTCTATACCCACTGTCATCAGGCTCAAATTTAACAATCCCAGGATCAAAAGTTGCATGCTGTACTGCCTGAAACAGCCAGGTGCCCCTTAGTTTAGTATTTATTTTTAAAATTATTTTTTCATTTATATCTTATTCCTTTTATGTTCTAGCCCTCATTTATGAATGAATTTTTCTAATTATATTAAATGTTTTTTCATACCTTCTGTTGCTAATACCTTTCTTTACCATGTTATAAAACAGTAAGTTATAGTTTCCGTCTGTTTTGCGGACATGTCTTTCTTGTGTGCTTTCATTATCTGTAGGGATGTGATTCTGCTCTTCTTTCTTAAGTAATTTTTGTGTGATGTTTGATCATGATTTTTTGGGTTCATTTTTATACAAAATTTGGGTTTTTTGGAGATTTCTGGTTCAGGCAGGCTTTTCTAATGTCATGGCTCTAGAGCTCCCTCCTCTGTTGTTTTTGCAAAGTGCTAAAAAATACCGCAGTTCATTGAATGCAGTTGGGTTCTGTGTCCCTTCCTTGCTTTTATCTGGACTCCTGTTTTCTTTATAGTTCTGTGCTAGTCAGTTTGGGTTCTAATTACCATAAATTTCTTAGTGTGAGACCTTGTCCTAAAAGACAATTTAAAATGGTTAGTTTGGAGAAGTTCTAAGGATTTAAGTGTACAGAGCTCCTCTTGGTTCCAGCTGCTGTTCTCAAATTGGCCTCCGGGCTTTGTGGTGAGTTCCTGACGATTCTTTTGAAGGCCTTAGGTTTGGCCAGTGGTTTGCAGTTCCTTCTGATTTCTCCTCTGTGTATGCTGGTATCATACATTCTGTCTTCGTCAACCCTACCCAATTACATTTTCAGTTTTGTGGGTCTGCCTTATTACCTAGTGTTGTTGTAGATATCATTCGTAAGTTTTTGGCTTTGATATCTTAGTTGCTGTAGTTAATTTTTTTATGGAGTGTTGAGATAGAGATTTAATAAGATTTAAAAACTATATTGTCACTGCTACCATCTTTTGAAAATCTTTAAAAAACAATTTAAAAAAATTTTTTTTTAAATTTCTGAGAGGGAGAGAGAGACAGTGTGAGCAGGGGAAGGTCAGAGAAAGAGGGAGACACAGAATCTGAAATAGGCTCCAGGCTCTGAGCTGTCAGCACAGAGCCAGACACGGGGCTCGAACCCATGAACCATGAGATCATGACCTGAGCCGAAGTCAGACGCTTAACCAACTGAGCCACCCAGGTACCCCCTAAAAAATAATTTTTAAGAATTAAAGATCTAGGGGGTACCTGGCTGGCTCAATTGGAAGAGCAGGTAGCTCTTGATCTCAGGGTAATGAGTTCGAGAGCCTCAAGCCCCATGTTGGGTGTAGAGATTACTAAAATAAATAAAACTTAAAAAAGAATTAAAGATCTAAAGTAGATGATTGACCTATGTTAAATCAATATGATAGGTGGTTTTTGGTATTGTTTTCTATATTTTTCTGTATGCTTAAGATAGTTTATAATTAACAAGATCCAAATCTAGCAACATGTAATGAGGAGTCGGGCAAATACTTTTGTGGCTGAGATAATCCCCTCTCCCCCAATCATGATGTATTATTTTTTGTATTTATTGCTGGATTATTTGCTCAAAATTTGTTAAGTAATTTTTAGTCTGTGGTCATGAGAGATACTGGTCTGTTTTTCCTTGTAATGTCATGTAACATAGTATATTTGTACAGTTTTGTTATCGAGATAATGCCGGGCCTGATAGAAGGAATTGGAAAGTGCTCTGGAAGGGTTTGTGTAGAATTTCTTTTAGAAGAGTTTGTATAGAATCGGTATTACTTCTGACTTAAATGTGTGCTGGAATTCATGGTGATGCCATCTGGGCCTAGAGTTTTCTTTATGGAAATGTTTTTAACTGCAAATTCAGCTTCACGAAGCAAGGCTATTCAGGATGTCTGTTTTTTCTAGAGTGAGCTTTTGGTAGCTTGTGTCTTTCAAAGATTTTGTTTTTTTTCATGTATTCTGGTCTACTTAGTTCATATTATCCTGTTACTATCCTTTTAATGTCTGTAGGATATGTACTTTTGTCCCTTCTCTACTGCTTCGTAGTATAATTTCTACCTCCATCGTGGTTTTTTTTGGAGTCTGGCTAGAGGTGTATTTTATTTTATTTTGTTTATTGTTTATTTGTTTATTGTTATTTTATTTGTTTATTTTATTATGTTTTTCATTTCCTTTTATTTCATTATTTTTAATCTCAAGATTAAATCAGTTTTCCTCTATTTTTCTGTTTGATATCTTTTTATCTTTATTCATTTTTTTCTTATTTTTGGATTTAGTTTTCTTTTTTTAATTTAATAAGGTGAAACTAGATCATTAAAAAAAAACCCTTTCTTCTTTTCTAATATATATGTTTACTACTGTACATTTCCTGCTAAGAATTGCTTTATTGTATCCCATAAGGTTTGCTGCCTTTGTTCTCGGTTTCTAGCTTAACTATTAATGTTGGGCAACATGATCTTTGAAATAGTCTTTGAAGTTTTTAAGACTTACTTTGTAGCCTTGTGTGGGAGATTAATGTCTCAGGATTATTATTATTTGTTTTACATTTGATAAGAACTTGTAAGTCTTTGATTTGTTTGTCTTCTGTTTCAGGTCTTGGTATGGTGACTCCTGTGAATGATCTGAGAGGGTCTGATTCAATCGCCTATGACAAAGGGGAGAAGCTACTGCGGTGTAAGTTGGCAGCATTTTACCGATTGGCAGATCTGTTTGGATGGTCTCAGCTTATCTACAATCATATCACAGTGAGTATCGAGTGGGGTCGTGACCGCGTGATAAGCGGAATGTTATGTGTCTGGCATCACTGCTTCCCGTTTAGAAGAAGGGAGTCCACTGAGCTGAAGTAAATCGTAGAACACTTTCTTCCTGATTCCTGACTGAAGAGTGTTATAATCTGAGAATTATCCAGTTTGAATTAAAAATTATGAGACCAGGGGCGCCTGGGTGGCCTAGTCGGTTAAGCGTCCGACTTTCGCTTAGGTCATGATCTCGCGGTTCGTGGGTTCGAGCCCCGCGTCGGGCTCTGTGCTGACTGCCAGCTCAGAGCCTGGAGCCTGTTTCAGTCTGTGACTCCCTCTCTCTCTGACCCTCCCCTGCTCATGCTGTCTCTCTCTCTCTCTCTCCTAGAAATAAAAAAAAAAAAAAAAAAAAAAAAAAAAATTATGAGACCAGGAGATCTTTAAAACTCCTTTCTTGCATGCTGACCTAATAACCAAGTGTTTACCCAAGTACAGTGGTCCTCCGTTACCTGGGCTTTGCTTTCCACGGTCTCCATTACTGTAGTCAACCAGTCCAGAGGCAGGTGACCCTCCTAGCCTGTCGTCAGGTCAGCGGCAGGTCATGCCGCATCACATCCCGTGTCACTCCGCGTCCACACGTGGGCACTTCGTCATCTCACATCATTGCACGACGGGTGAGTGCAGGATAGAGAGAGGCCCCATTCACATGACTTTCATTACAGTGTGGATAACACTTGTTTTGGTTTATTGTTACTTGTGTTCTTAACCTCTTACTGTGCCCAATTTATAAATTAAACCGTGTGGTAGGCGTGGAAGGATAGGAAGCACGGTGTGTGTAGGTTTGGCACTGTCAGCCGTCCTCGGTTTCAGGCATCCGTTGAGGGCCTTGGGACGTCTGTCTCACAGATAAGGTATAGGCAGCTCCCAGAATTCTTTTTATGCCTAGAAACCCAAGAATGAAGACTTTTTTTTCCCTATTCTGACCAAAGTCTTCTATTTCTCATAGTTATTTCTTCAGCTACTCCAGGTTTAGCTATTTTCCAACATTTTCAGGACTTCTGTTTTCTGCAGTGAATACTTACTGGATGTCAGTGTAAATATTTATTCCGTACCAAGCATTGTTCTAACTCTGGGGTTATGTCAGTGACTGCGGCAGGTCCTGCCTCTGTGGATCTTCCTTCCCACGTCCCTGTCCACTGGCCCATGTTCACTCCCTCTTTGGTCCAGCTTGGATTTCATGGTGCCGCATCACTTCGGGAACACTCTTTGTCAATGCTGTACTCTCTCTCCCTGCGCCTGACCAGCTAACCCTGCTGCAGAGAGCCTCCACAGGGCTCATGGGCTCTCTCCGTAGATGACAGATGTACCCAGGACACTGCATGGCGCCGTGAGATGTCTCATCAGGAGCTCACTCATATGTCTACTCTCTCTACTACTGTCTACAGAACTCCTAACCTCTCTTCTCTTAGCAGATGCCTGCGGCGTGTCATTGAGCAGATGGGAATGCCCGCCTGCTGTTTGTGCCCGTTCCGTGCCCCTGACCGCCCACTTCCTGCCTACAGCCGGCTTTGTTTCCCAGTTGGAATTTCATCTCCACTTGCATCTTAGATTCCTAATGCGTTGTCAGCTATTTATTTTTTTCTTTGCCCTTCCATAGAGACCATCTTTGTTTCACTCTTAAACTTGTTCCAGTCTGTTTCTTCAGTTAATTTCCTTTGTTGACTATTTGAACTTTGTAGTACAGCGCCTGCTTATAGCAACAGGTGTACCTCACATGAACGTCTAAAGAAGCTGCGATCCTGCGAAAACTCTTACCTCCCTTCAGGCAGCTGGTGTTAACAGCTGTTTAAATTGTTTTGCCCTTTTCTGTATACCCAGCACACATGTAGGTGATTTGCACTTGCGGACTTGTAAGTAGTGACGGGCTCAGCTCCAGCGTGGACTCCAGGGAATGCTAAGCCTCCAGGGCTGCGGTCTGGAGCCCACCTTTGTGACCAGTGCGCTGTGCTCCTGGGATGTGATAGGGATCTTTCCAGAGATACTGCGTTACTCTGCCCTCCTTCTCTTCCCCACGTTGCCCTTCAAGTTCGCTTTTCAGAATGCAAACCTGGCCCTGTCGTATCCACGCTCTCGTATCCACACTGTTGTATCCACACTGTCGTATCCACGCTGTCGTGGCTGTAGGACGCTGTCCACCCAGTACCTCTGCTGTATTTCCCCCAAAGCTGTTCCCATCATCCGTACTTCACATTTGCTTATCTGTCATCCATGTCCACTCACGGGAATATCGACCCTGGGAAGCCTGCCTCCGTTGTGTTTCCTGCTGTGTCCCGACGACCAGGAACGGTGCTAGGCGCACAGTAGGCACACAGTGAGCTCTGGGGTGAAGTCTCCCACACTGAAATCTGGTCTCAGCAACACTATGGGACAGGAAGTCCACGATGCCTCCTGGTGCTTGGTCAGAGGGTCCCCTTGGCCTGTCAGAAGTGCCAGTCCTCTTCCTAGTGCCTGCGTGGAAATTGCTGGCACCTGTGGCTGATGACGCTCCACCGAGTGCTCGGTGTAGAGATATAACGCTCAACGGTTGGCTAAAAATTAGTTCTATGAAAATGTTACAGCTGTAATAGGAAATTAATCCTTGGCTTTAATATCACCTTCCATTGGGAGGTGGGGGAGTGGATTTAAAATGCTGTTTACCAGTAGTCCTGGTATGAATGCTATTTCATAATAGGTTTAACTTGCTGAAATTGCTCCCCTTGCCCTTTATTTAGGACTTCTTAGTTGAATGTTTACTGTTCTGTAGATGATCTGTGTGGCCCTTACTCCTTTGTAAAAAAGAGATTTAAGCATCAAAATATTTCCTGTATCTTGTGAACTACAGAATCTTTGAGGGAGAAAGTTTTATTTTTGTTTTTTCTTAACTACTGTGGCCTGCATTTTTTGTTTTTTAATCTATATGCTACATATAAACACATAATAGCAAAGAAATATTAATGGTATCTCTCAGTGCAGCCAGAAAGTGCAAACAGGTCCTGGTGACCTTTCTTTGAAAGAGGCCACAGGGCTTTTCTGCTGAAGGGATTTCAGAGTGCTGGCAGGCCTTAGGGGTTGCAGAGGGCTGGCTGAATTAGATCTGTTTTAAGACTGCATTCCATTTAGCTAAGCTGTGGGGAGTGTCGGTGGCCAGGGTGACCCCGTTAGCACATGAGCTGGCCTTTTTCTCTTCGTGGTTCTTAGCTGATGCTAGGGCTTTCCATCCCTCAATGCCTCTGGTGGTAGTGGGGTGCCGGGGTCAGCTCCGGCCTGGACTCCAGGGAGTGCTAAGCCTCTGAGGTGGCGGTCAGAGCCCACCGTGTGATTAGTGCGCTGCGCTTCTGGGACATGAGGTGTGTCTTTGCCAGAGATACCGAGTCGGGTGTGTTTGGTTTTCATACATGAGTGTTCAGTCTTTGTGGACAGAGAAGGGGCATCAGGTGTGTGGGAAGATGCGCAGTGAGAGTAACGCTGGTCTCTTAGAGACTAGAAACTTTATTTGTAGGGGTGCCTAGGTGGCTCAGCTAGGTAAGGGTTGGGCTCTCTTTCTTTTTTTTTTAACGTTTATTTTTGAGAGAGAGCATGAGTTAGGGGAGGGGGAGAGAGAGACAGAGAATCCCAAGTAGGCTCTGGGCTGGCAGTGTGGGGCTTGAACTCATGAACCGTGAGATCCTGACCTGAGCCGAAATCAAGAGTCAGACGCTCAACTGACTGAGCTACACAGGTGCCCTGCATCAGACTCTTGATCTCAGCTCCGGTCTTGATCTCTGGGTCCTGAGTTTAATCCCTGCATTGGGTTCTGCGCTGGGTGTGGAGCCTATTTAAAAAAACAAAAACAAACTTACATGGAAATTTCCTCCACTCTTTTTTTTTTTTTTTCCAAATTTTATTTAATATTTATTTTTGAGAGAGAAAGACTGAATCCAGGCAAGGAGAGGGACAGGGAGAGGGAGACACAGAATTGGAAGTAGGCTCCAGCCTCTGAGCTGTCAGCACAGAGCCCGATGTAGGGCTTGAACTCAAGAACCACGAGATCATGACTTGAACCCAAATTGGAAATGCTTAACCAACTACACCACCCTGGCTGGCACCCAGCACTTTTTCCTTTTTTTTGCTTCATACTCAGAAAATCATATATTTTAAACTTTTTCCAGTAAAATATGTAGATTTGTTAGACTTACTCTTGGAAATAGGTGTTAAAGAAATAAGTCAAAGAAGAAAAAGTGATAGCATTATTTATAATAATAAAATGTGAGTCTAAATATCCAATGGTAGGTAGGAAATGGCCCAGTTATTCAATGTCAGTTTGAGGGAATGTTATATATTATGAAAAATACTTACGAAGACCATGTGGAAAAAATGAAAAATAGTTAATACAAAAGAGGGAATATAAAATATATACTGTTTATAACTATGAATTATGTCTATTTAGAGACTGGGAAACAAGAAGTCATTAGAAAATGGCTATGTAATAGTTTTTTAATGTGGAACCTGATAACATGCTTCTAAAATTTATAGGGAAGATGGGAGTACAAGAATGGCTAAGATGAACTGAGTGAGGAGAGGTTTTTTTTCCTCGTAACTGTGAATTTATAAAGTGACGCTAATTAAAATAGTGTGCTTTGGGCAAAGGAAGAGACAGAGCCGTAGGATGGAACCGAACCCAGAGCCGGATCTCATATATTGAAATCAGAGATGCCAAGGAGTCTGCGTTGCAGAGCAGCACGGAAGGGTGCACAGGCAGTAACTGGTGCTGGCACAGCTGGATTGAAAAATCCAAATTGAAGAGTTACATTGGATTCATACCTTACATATTTATACCCACAAAGCAATTCCAATGAATTCAGAATTAAATGTGAGAGGTTACACTTTAAAAATTTTAGAATGGGGTTGCCTGGGTGGTTCAGTTAGTTGGTTGAGCGTCCTACTTTGGCTCAGGTCATGATCTCACAGTTTGAGAGTTTAAGCCCTGCATCTGGCTCTGTGCTGTCAGCATGGCACCTGCTTTGGATCCTCTGTCCCCCTCTCTCTGCCCCTCCTGGGCTCATGCTCTCTCTTTCTCTAAAATAAAGAAAAATTAAAAAAAATTTTTTTTTTTGGATCAGGGCCTCTGGGTTATGGCTCATTTGGTTGAGCATCCGACTTCAGCTCAGGTCATGACCTTGCAGTCCGTGATTTCAAGCCCCACATCAGGCTCTGTGCTGATAGCCTGCTTCAGATCCTCTGTATCCCTCTCTCTCTCTGCCCCTCCCCAGCTTGTACTCTGTCTCTCTCAAAAATAGATAAATATTTTTAAAAAATTTTAGGATCAATATAGGCAAAAATCATTGACCCTTACCTTGTTATTTGAAAAAATTTTTAAAAACCTTCATTTATTTTTGACAGACAGTACAAGGAAGGGAGGAACAGAGAGAGAGGGAGACACAGAATCCAAAGCAGGCTCCAGGCTCTGAGCTGTCAGTACAGAGCCTGACACGGGGCTCAAACTCCCCAACCACAAGTTCATGACCCATGCCAAAAAGTCAGACGCTTAACTGACTGAGCCACCCAGGTGCCCCATTGACCTTTAACTTTTGACCTAAGGAAAGAGGTCTTAAGACCCAAAAGCACCAATTATAAAATAAAAGATGGATAAAATTGACTATATTAAAATGAACAAATTTCTCGTCATTAAAAGATGCCGTAAAGAGAGTAAAAATCGGGGAGGGGGGTGTCTGGCTGTCTCAGTTGAAAGAGCATGCAACTCTTGATCTTGGGGTTTTGAGTTCAAGCCCCATGTTGGGGGTTCAGATTACTACAAAAAAAAAATAATAAACTTGAAAAAAAAGAAAGAGTGAAAAAAAGAAAACGTACAGCCTGGAAGATTTTGCCTCACAGGTAACCAACAAAAAATGAGTATCCAGAATAAAGAACTATAAGAATGAAAAGGACAAACCAGTATGGTCATTTTATGACCAAAAGACAAGAAAGGAATTTCACAGAAGGGGAAATAAGATGGCTCATAAAAATATGAAAAGTTGCTCAACTCCGTACTGACCAAGAAATTATAAATTAAAACCACAATGGAATACCATATCACAGACATTAGATTTTAATTTTTTTTTTTTTTTTTATGTTTTATTTATTTCTAGGAGAGAGAGACAGCGTGAGCAGGGGAGGGTCAGAGAGAGAGGGAGTCACAGACCNACCAATAGATTTTTTTATTGACTGAATTATGTTCTTCAAAATTTATATATTGAAGACCTAGCCCCTAATATGAATGTATTTGGAGATAGAATCTTTTTTTTTTTAATGTTTTATTTATTTCTAGGAGAGAGAGAGAGAGACCGTGAGCAGGGGAGGGTCAGAGAGAGAGGGAGTCACAGACCGAAAGAGGCTCCAGGCTCTGAGCTGGCAGTCAGCACAGAGCCCGACGCGGGGCTCGAACCCACGAACCGCGAGATCATGACCTAAGCGAAAGTCGGACGCTTAACCGATTAAGCCACCCAGGCGCCCCTAGATTTTAATTTTTAAAGAAGATGATAGTAGAAGCATATAACTGCCCCCCACTACTGGCAGAGGTGACCGTTTAACTAGGCCCTCTGGAGACAATTTGGTGTCGCTCCAGAGAAATTTGACCATGTATGCTAGGCGGCAGGTGCAAGAATGTTCACATTTTTAGTAGCAAAATGGGAACTGTGGCCATCGACGGAAGAATGGATACATAGATCGTATATTCATCCAGCGGACGTTCTACAGCAGTGGAAGTGAACACGTGATAGGCATGTCTATCGTAGTTAAGAGGAATCTCAAAAATAATGTCACTGGAAAGAAAATACAGGAAGATTCCAATTATTGGAAGTTCATAAACATAAAAATTAATATATTGCTTAAGGATAAATATATATAAGATGAAACTGTAAGGAAAAGGAATAAGATGCTTATACATAATTCAGGATAGCAGTTCCTTCTGGGAGTGGGGAAGGGACACGGCGCTTCCGGGATCCTACACTTCCTCTGTTCTGAAGCTGGTTGAAAGGTACACGGGCATTTGATTTTTTATACTTAAGTTGTGCATGTGCCTTCTGAGCACTCTGTATGTTGTTGCAAGATAAAACTTTTAATGTCAGTAAAAAGGTCTGACATTTAATTTTTCCTTATTTTTAGCCTTAGTTTTCATTTCAGTATATACACAAAGTAATTCTTTGCTTTGTGTTTTTTATTTTGACCCAGGTTGGGAATTGGGGCAATTGTGTAGGTTTTAGACAGTTAAAAAGATGCATGCTTTTTAAAGTACAAGAACTGACTTTAGAAGTAAGCCTAGCAAACTCGGCCTCAAAGGGAAAATATTTCGCGAATGATGGAATCCGCGTGTACATTTTTGAAACAACTCAAAGAGCAGAAAGCAGGGGGATGGGGATCTGAAGAGAGGTGGAGGTGGATTAAGAACGGGCTCATTCTTCATCGTGATTTACTGCCGTTGCTCCTACTACCACTAGTAATAGTAGTTGTGGGGAAATGCTGTGTGCCGAGAGCTTATTGTGCGCGCCAGCCCTTATCATCCCCTCTTTATGGATAAGAAGACTGGGAGCGCAGGGTCCCCAAAGCAGCACAGCCCATTCTTGGCAGAGCTGGGCTTCTAACTGCGGTCTTACCTGAGTGTGGATCCGCATTATGCCATCCTGACTTTAGCACCAAGGCGACAGGAGGAGGTAGGGTGGTTTCGGGGTCTGAGAGCTAAATCGTACAAGCGGGGGACTTTGTTCTGTGTTGCGCGCTAGGAAGAGTGCTGAGAAACTCAGGAAGACAGGGTTCTGCTCAGTGTGGGTGCGGACGTTTGGATGATCAGGTCTCTCTCGGTTCATTTCTGGGTCGCCTCCCGCCCCTGGAATGGAGCCGGTGGTCAGTGGCCGTTTGCTGAATGAAGTGAGGCCCAGGGAGGACGTGGTGAGCTTCCCTCTCCGTACCCCTGCCCTGGCAGGCGGGGCGTGCGTCTGTGTGGACCAGAACGGAAGTCACTGCGCTGGTTGGGAAGTTGGACTAAACACCCTGCGTCCCCACAGACGCACGCTCCGCCCGCCTGGCCCTCGCTGCAGTTCTTAGCCCGGCAGTGAGCGTGTCCCAAGGCAGTGGCTTTGGGGAATCGTTTGGGTTCTCCCAGAATCACCCTGAAACGGGCAGGACTGTTTTTCTCCTCTTGTGTCACTAGCATCTAGCGCAGGTACACGTTGAACGAATGGAGGACGGAAAGCAGTGGAGGAAGGGGCAGACCCACCAGGGGCCTGATGACGTGTAGAGGCTTTGTGAAATCCGTCAGCGGTAGGGGGAGCTCTGGGTTGCGATTTTTATGGTGGTTCATTATCGCGCAGATTTTGAGTACGAATAAGTTTTGGTTTTCACTAGTATACGCCCCTGGAGCGACACCTTCTGGCGTGTGATGCTGGTTTGGTAGCCACAATGATCTGTCATGAGTGTGACCGAGATGCACTTTATGTACCTGATAAATTACTGCAGCATAATGATAGAAAGCTTCCGGTACCTCGTAGCTTTGTGGCAGATGCTGTACTTAGCTGCTTTCCTGTGTAGTTCACTGAATGCGCACCAGCCCGTGAGTTTGTGGATGGAAAGATAATTTCAGTTGGATTTTTGAGCTAACTTGGTAATTTTCCTCACAGACCAGAGTGAGCTCCGAGCAGGAACATTTCCTCATCGTTCCCTTTGGACTTCTCTACAGTGAAGTGACTGCATCCAGCTTGGTAAGAATATCCTTTTCCTCTCGGCCGTTATGTATGTTTAGGTCATATTAGATAATTAAACACCTTTTAAACACCTTTCCAAGAAAGGGGAAGAGGTTTATGTTTTGTGTGATTAACTCCCAGAAAAACTTTAGAACTAGTTATAAACACTTTAAACTTTGGTTTAAAGAATTCCTAGTAAGGGTAAATTGCAATCCTCTGGACACTGACAATTTTGATTTGCTTATTTTCAGGTTAAAATCAATTTACAAGGAGATATAGTAGATCGTGGGAGCACTAATCTGGGAGTAAATCAGGCTGGCTTCACATTACATTCTGCAATTTATGCTGCAAGGCCCGACGTGAAGTGTGTGGTCCATATTCACACGCCAGCAGGGGCCGCGGTGAGTGTGTTGCCTTGAGGGCAGCTTAACGTTTGAAAGCTGTTTAGTGAAGGGGACCCCACATTTCTTCACAGGTACCCTCTCTTGAGGCAAGTTAGTAAACCTAATTTTGTTGGAGTAAAAAAGGTTTTTTACTAAATTTGACTTTCTTAGAAGAATTTTTTTTTCCTTTTAAGGGGTCCATATACTATCCAGTTTTGGAAAACTTGTGTGAGTGAAAATGTCCGCTAGACTTAACAGTTAGCAAATCATTAGCGTATTGAGGGTGAGGACAGATTTCCATGTCGTGAAGACTGACTGCAGTAAGTGAGACTCCTTGTGTGAGACGCCGGGAGTGGGGGGTGGGGGGGTCTCGGCAGGCTGCGGGAGGGCGCTGGGGGCTCGAGGAAGGGCCAGCTGGAGGCAGGAGGCCCGAGCCCACTGGGCAGGAGCCGGGATGGATCATGATAGGAGATGAAGGGGGAACGGCTGTTGCAAGAGGAAGGCACAGACATTGCAGGCTGTTAGGAGACTGGCTTCTAAGCCTAGAACCTCCCCAGAGCCCGCCCCAGCCCAGTCACCAAGCCTGGGCCATTCTGGTGCCAGCAGCCCAGACCTCTCAGTATGAAAACACCCATTCAGGTTGTTGGGACGGACGGTCATGTGACAGCGAAACACTACAACTATCTAGAATTGGCTTTTTATCACCCATTTCATTCTTTAATGACTTTGTGGGCTTATTTGTACCACACATGGATTCAGTAATATAGAATTCTATGATGTTTTAATGTCATGCATATTGGATTGTTTTGAAGCATGTTAGGTCTGTCTGATTTGTTTATTTTACTTTGAACATGTGGTTCTAGATGTGAACAGAGGAGTTTTATTAGATCTGTCATTTTTTGAAGTTTCTTTTGTAACAAGATGCGTGCTTTCCTAGCCACAAAAAGTCTGTGCATTTTAAAGAATCTTTCGAGGTCCCCTTGAGAGTATGGTTCCAAACAGTTTACCATGTGATTTGTTTGAAAACTTAGCAGATCGCTTCACTTGGTAAGGAAATTCTTCTTACAAGAAGACTGTGAAAGGAATTTAGTGCTGTATTGCTTCTTTTGTGGTGTTGGGTTTTTAGATGAACTTGTACGTGAATTTGTTGCACCTCTAGACCCTTTTGAATCTTTGGAGCCTGTTTGTTCGTCGTGGTAGAAAACCTTCAAAATTAGCGTGTTCTAAAATCAGTTTGGGAAATGTAAGGAAACTGAAGGGCTATATGAATGCTTAAGATTTATTTTTACTTATATAGAAATTTATAGCATAGTTGTCCTAAGTTTCAGAAATTTGCTCTTATGTAAATATCTGGTTCGGGTTCACCTACAACCTCAGATGAAAAGTGCATCAGAATGTCTCTGCAGTGGCCCGACTCATTCGGGGGAAGCTATTGTCTCTCCTTGCGTTAGGCCAGGGCTCATCTTACCCTGAAACCTGAGCTCCCACGGCGGTAGGAGTTCTAAGTGCACATGGGTAGCAAGCCCCAGAAGTTAAAGTTCATCCTAAGTGCATAGGTTCCTTTACTTCTGAGAAGATAACAAAATAAAATCTGTCCTCCCGTTTATTTCTCTGAGGAGAGCATGTGCCGTGTCATCAACGCGTGATTCTTGATTTCCCGTCATTCACGGTGACTTGCATGTTCTCTAGGTCTCTGCGATGAAATGTGGCCTCTTGCCGATCTCCCCGGAGGCACTTTCCCTTGGAGAAGTGGCTTATCATGATTATCATGGGATTCTGGTTGATGAGGAAGAAAAAGTATTAATTCAGAAAAATTTGGGCCCTAAAAGCAAGGTCAGTGGGCATCTAATGTGGTCTTTAAGTTACAGAGGGAAGAAGTTGTTAAAGCGCCAGTCTCCTTGCCTCGCTCCTTAGGGCTTTCATGTTTCCCTCTCAGGTTCTTATTCTGCGGAACCACGGGCTCGTGTCTGTTGGAGAGAGCGTCGAGGAGGCTTTCTACTACATCCACAACCTTGTGGTCGCCTGTGAGATCCAGGTGGGTGGTGGCCGCTCAGGTCGGTCTGCAGCTTATCTGGGTGTGTGCAGGGTTTCCGTAGAGTTTCGGTACTTGTTTCATAGGAATGGTTCTTTGCATAGTCTCTTTGCCAAAGACGAGCTTCTGGATTTGGAAATTGGCCAGAGCAAATGCCATTTGACTGATTGATGCTGACAAATGATTACTGGGCTTTTCATTTCTAATTTTTTATTATTCAAATATGTCAGCCACCACCATTTACGGAGCACCTGGTATCAGGTGCTTCATGGATGTTATCGCATGTTCTTTCACTTGCTCCCCATGGCACTGTTTGTGAAAAAGCACATGCAGAGAGGCGGAGCCTTGCCTGTGGCCCATGGCCGTGAGCGCCACTGAGCCAGGTTGGCTCAACCCCAAGTTTGCGCTCCCTCCACTGTTACGTTGACTTACGTTCTGACAGTACTGCGGTCCCCAGGCTCCTTCATGCAGTCTTCAGAGGTGCTTTGTTTGCCCATTTCTCCTCCAAGCATGAGCGCCCAATATTTTTGTTACACGAAAGGAACTTCTGAAAATAACCTTGTGTGTGAATATTTATTGCTATCCGTTCTCCATGTTTGATTCTTACACTCTGATGACGTGGTTTCTTTTGAAACTTACGTTTCTGTCTCAGTGATCTCTCATAGCCATCGGGCCCTCCCGCCTCAGTAACGAACTCAGAACTGCTGTTTGCTTGTTTTGGAAAAGGTTCGGACTCTGGCCAGTGCAGGAGGGCCAGACAACTTAGTCCTCTTGGATCCTGGCAAGTACAAAGCCAAGTCCCGTTCCCCGGGGTCCCCGTCAGGGGAGGGCACCAGCTCACCTCCCAAGTGGCAGATCGGCGAGCAAGAGTTCGAAGCCCTGATGCGGATGCTCGATAATCTGGTAAGAATGTTGCTACCACGTGATGATAAAGTTTTTGTTCTGAAAGCATAAGTGCTGGTGTTTTTATAGCAAGTGAAATGGCATGAAACTGTCTGCATGCAGTATCTGAGTGCTTCCACCCTCCCAAATCATGAAGGAGCACAGGGCAATATAACTTCTAAGCTAAATCACCGCAAAATGCAGAGGTGAGGGTTTCTTGTCATCTTTTGTTGTCTAAAGGTAATCCACACTTAAACTGTGGGGACAAGAGCGCGGGGAATGCCCTGCTCTGAAGCAGGCTGCTGGGCTGGGGCTCAGTTGGTTGAGTGTCTGACTCTTGATTTCAGCTCAGGTCATGATCTCCCGAATCATGAGTTCGAGCCCGTGTTGGGCTCTGTGCTGACAGTGTAGAGCCTGTTTGCGATTCTCTGCCCCTCCACCACTCATGTTCTCTCTCTCTCTAAGAAAATGGAAATAACTAAAAATAAATAAAATAGGCTGCTGGGTAACTCACTCCTAGAGTAGTAGCCGGCTTGGTACTGTCCCCCCACAAGCAAGCCATCCGGGGGTGCCTTCTACATCCGCTCGCCAAGTGCTTTGTTTTTTGTTTTAGTGGTAACTTCTAGCTACGTGGGGCCCGATTACTGTATTTCACAGACATTTGCTGCTGATTTACTGGTGGGAGACCCCTTCCTCCAAATTGCAGGGACACGGAGCGCAGCACAACACAGGAGCTGGGACGTGGTGTATTCAGCATTTAGTAAGGATGTTGTGGTGCTACCCAGCAGGATGTGGCCTGTGGTAGAGGGGTCGGGGAGGGATCTCATCCCTTTGCAGGCATCAGGGAGAAAACCTGCCGTGGATGGCACTTGGAGGTGGTCTTGGAGAGCAGGTGAAGTTGAGGTAGGCTGAGATGGGAGAAGGAGGGTGTGTGTGTGGACTGCAGGCACTGCAGTGGGCGTGGGGGGTGGGGGTGCCTTCCAGGCACTTGTCTGGTATGAGCAGCTTCTTTAAATATTTACATCAAGACACCGTAAGACATAGGACTCTGTCGTACAGAGACATTTGGCTCCGTGCTTGCTGCAGGGTCATACTGTTGGGATAGAGTTCGGGAGAGTCTGTCGTCTTTCTGCACGACATCAGGTGGTGTAGACACAAGGACCGGTCCCAGGAGCGTGGGACCGAGAAGCCTCCGGAAGGGCTGGAGGCCCCGTGTGTTGCTGTGGCCACGCTGGGCACTCTGGACAGCGGCTCCCGGGCCAGCCGGGTACGTTTCAGCCTTGCAGGACAGCGTCCCGATTGTTGTACGCAGTCTCACGTGGGAGGGGTGGCTTCAGAAGGCAGGAAGCTTAACTTTCTTGAAGCTGTTGGAACAAAAAGAATTCATGGGTCTGATTCAGGGTGTGCTAAGTGTCGTCAGGAGCTGGATTTGATGAGTCAGGGAGGAATGAACAGAGAAAGCAGAATCTTCCATAGCTTTTGAATTCATTTGCGCCGTACAGGCGGACTGTGTTAACTGACCATCTTCTATTGAGCCAATAGCCATTAATAGGACACAGGGAGTTTATGACCCATCCCCAGAGGCGGACAAACATCCCAGATGTGGCCGCATATCTGTGATGGGTCCTGACAGCATGAGCAGAGCTGCGGAGGCAGAGACACTGGCCGCAGGCCAGGATTGGTCCCAGGAGGCAGGAGGAGGGTGAGGCGCACTAAGAACATGGAAGAAGCAGCTGGAGTTAGGTGGCGGCAGATACCCCTGCGGGGCTCCCTGTCTTACAGCCTCTCCTCTTTCCTCCTGGCGGATGCTGTGGTCTCACTGCTCTTTACTTAGAAGTCAGGGAGGGATCAGCAGAGGGGACCAAGAGTCGAGAATGCAGCCCACCACGTCTTGTGTCCTCAGTGCATTCTAGAAGGTGGAAGGAGAGAGATCAAAATCAGGCAATGACTCTTAATGTGATAGAGGAGGGAGAGGAAGGATGAAGAGACAGGTAAGTGAAGCGTTCGTTACAGGGGTGTTGTATTCAGTGTCCCTGATATGCGCAGGCTGTTATGTGGTTTTAATATTAGAAGGCTGTGTAGTTTGTAAGAAGTAATAATTATCACAGTCCATGTTTTAACTTAGCATTCTTTTTTTTTTTTAATTTTTTAAGTGTTTTATTTACTTTGAGGGACAAAGTGTGAGTGGGGGAGGGGCAGAGAGAGAGAGGGAGACACAGAATCCGAAGCAGGCTCCAAGTTCTGAGCTGTCAGCATAGAGCTGAATGTGGGGCTTGAACCCACAAGCCATGGGATTGTGACTTGAGCCTAAGTTGGACGCTCAACCGACTGAGCCACCCAGGCACCTCATCATTCTTTTTTTTTTTTAATGTTATTTTTGAGAGAGAGAGAGTGAATGAATGAAATCTCAACCAGGTTCTGTGCTGTTAGCACAGAGCCTGATGCAGGGCTCAAAACCCGGAAAACCATGAGATCATGACTTGAGCCGAAACCAAGAGTCAAATGCTTAACTGACTGAGCCACCCAGGGGCCCCTTAACTTAACATTCTGATTAACCGTATATGTTTGCCAGTAATTGAGTAGGCTGGACAATAGTTGAAGATTCTCATACTGTAAGAACTATTTTAATATACACAGAAGAAATGCTGATTGCTTCCCAAACATGAAGATCTAATTCTAGCTTCCCACAGAAGGAGGGAATCCATATGTGTAACTATAAGCCACACAGTAGGTCCGAGGTCCAAGTACTGCCTCTACTTTTGGCTTGACAGCATTTTTTTTTTTTTTAACGTTTATTCGTTTTCTGAGAGACAGAGTGTGAGCAGGGGAGGGTCAGAGAGAGAGAGGGAGACACAGAATCCGAAGCAGCTCCAGGCTCTGAGCTGTCAGCACAGAGCCTGATGCGGGGCTTGAACTCATGGGCGGTGAGATCATGACCTAAGCTGAAGTCAGACACTTAACCGACTGAGCTGCCCAGGTGCCCGTGCCCCTTGGCTTGACAGCATTTAAAGGGGAAGAATAAAGACTAACACCATACTCTCTGTGGGTAAAATTTTGCAAAGTTCTGGTGGTTTATCCTGAAGTCATGGAGACTACTCAAGAGTCTTGGCTCCATCAGCAAGGGGAAACTTGAGTCAACAAGCACTGTATTTTTCTGAAGCAGCCTTGTACGGTGGGGCCATGCTCTCTTGTCGTTCGTAGCACAGCATGGTTGTCAGCATAAAAATTGAGGATAGACGTTTACCAATCTTCCGGGGGGGGGTGGGGAAGCGACCGCCGAGGGCTGCGTTTAGGGATTGTTACCGCCCTCTTTTAAATTGCAGTAAAGGGTGTTGGTAATGACAGTGGTCTCCCAAAGAAGAGAAGCACCCAGAGGGGAGAGAGTTCCCGAAGTGAGAGAAATGTGAATATTGTAAAGCACCTCGGCAAGGAGGGCACCGGCCAGGGCCGCTCTGATGTGACCTTCCTTCATTCTCCTGTCCTTCATGGGGAAGGTGCCGCGAGTGACTCAGTTCAGACATGAGACGGTGGGTCAGGAGCGAACTGAGCCAGATCCTTGGCCTAGGGTCTCATAAGGTGGTGGCCAGGACTGGATTCTCCTCAGAAGCCTCGATGGGGGAGAACCCACTTCCAAGCTCCCTGAGATTGTAGACAGGATGCATTCTCTTACCACTGTAAGAGTCGTGGCAGCTCGCTTCTTTAGAGCTGGCAACAGACAGAGAGACTCAAGATGGGTGCCAGCCTCCTGTGTAATACATCCTACATCACCTTTGCCAGATTCCACGGGTTAGAAGCAAGTCAGGTCCTGCCCGCGTTCCAGGAGGGAGGGCGTTATAGCGGGTGGGGACCGTGGGGAGCCACCATAAGTGTGTGCCACACCCACCAGATGCTGTGCCTGGGTGGAGGGATGGGGAGCACGTCGTCCTGGCCTTGGAGAGAGTGTCTCCGGGAGCCGGCAGACCGCTTGGTCCAGCACGTGGGGTAAGTGCCGTTACAGTGATGACAGAGTGTGAACCACTGGGGCCCAGGCCTTAAAGCCTCGTAAGTGGTTAGGAGGCAGAATTGAAGGTTGTTACATTCAAAGAAAGACCCAGTTGTCATGAGGTGTCCTTGTTTGATCTTCCCCAAAGCTTATCACAGTATCTTATCTAAACTTTATCATAAAAGGTTAAAAAAAAAAATTTATTAATAAGTAAGTTGTTTACAACCTTTACTGTAGCCAGCAGCAAGTAAGCCCATTTAAATACTCACTTTATTAACTTTTAAAAATTGAGGTTGCCTCGGTGGCTCAGTCAATTAAGCATCTGACTCTTTATTTTGGCTCAAGTCGAATTTCACAGTTCCTGAGTTCGAACCCCCACATTGGACTCTGCACTGACAGCGCAGAGCCTGCTTGGGATTCTCTCTCCCTCTGCCCCTCCCCTGCTTACACATGTGCACTCTCTCTTTATCAAAATAAATAAATATTTAAAAATTTTTGAAAAACTGAACACACTGTAGAACCAGCATGCAGATCAAAAAACAGCAGCACTGGGGTGGAGCCTGGCTGGCTCAGTCGGTAGAACAAGTGACTTGATCTCAGGGTTGTGAGTTTGAGCCCCCCGTTGGGCATGGAGCCTACTCAAAACAATAACAATGACAAAACAGCACCTCAGAAGCCCCTGTACCCTTTCAGGCACTTCCTTTTGTACTTTTAAGAAGTGATGAGTGAGTGGAATAGTGTTCTTTCACATTTGGTTTCTTTGACTCCGCATCACATTTGTGAGGTTCATCCTAATGTTGCAGCTGGTGCTGGACCATTGGCTCTGATTCCGGCCCCCTAGTCCGTTGCGTGGATATCGCACAGTTGGCCCATTCTGGTGTTGCTGGCTTTCCCTGACCTGGGGCCGCGGTCAGAATTCTGGTGAACGTATGCACGTCTGTTGGCATGCATCTGGGAGTGCAGACTCGTCGGGTGTGTGCGTGTCTAGCTTTTGTAGTTATTTCCACATGATTTCCTAAAGTGAACTGTTTTGAGAGCTGGCATATTGATGGTCTTTCAATCTCTTTGGACCCTAGGGTTACAGAACCGGCTACCCGTACCGGTACCCTGCTCTGAGAGAGAAATCTAAAAAGTACAGCGATGTGGAGGTTCCCGCGACTGTCACAGGGTACTCCCTTGCTAGTGACGGGGACCCGGGCACTGGCTCCCCTCTCAGACACAGTTTTCAGAAGCAGCAGCGAGAGAAGACAAGATGGCTGAACTCTGGCCGGGGTGACGATGCTTCTGAGGAAGGGCAGAACGGAAGCAGTCCCAAGTCGAAGACTAAGGTGTGGACGAACATTACACACGATCACGTGAAACCCTTGCTGCAGTCTCTCTCGTCCGGTGTCTGCGTGCCAAGCTGTATTACCAACTGCTTGGTCTGTGCCTACCTTACTGTTCATAGTTAGATGATGTAGAGCAAGTGGGGTAGCTGGGGCTTCGGAGGCTTTGGGAACCTAGCTTTGCCGACCTGGATTTCGAGCAAACCTTCCTCCTTAATCTTCTTTAGCCTGACCTGGAACCCGCTTTATGCATCCGCTGTACTTCAAGTAATACTGTCTGCTTGAAACTGCTTAAGATCCGTAGCACCTCTTCAGTAACCCCCACGTCACCTCACTTCTGTGTGTGGCGAAAATACTAAGTAACTTACACATGTTAACCTAAAAGTCGGAGCTGACATTTAATTCCAATCATATTCTAGGAATCCTAATGCTTCACGCACGAAAGGGAAGTTCGTCATAACCTGTTACGTTAGTGTCACCTCCAGACTGGTCTGCTCTTTAAAGGCTTCAGTGTTTTCTTAAGCAGTTTTCCCTGGTGTCTCACGGGCATTTTCTCAGCCGACCTCGTCCTTTCTCGTTGGCCTCCTTCCCTGTCGCTGTCCCAAAGCCTCCGAATGCTTTAAGCAACCACCTTGTGCATGGACTGTTGCATGTGAGTAGACGGCCGTAGTGGTGAGTCCTGTGGCTCCTGCTGGGTGTGGCATGACCCAGGTGCGGCGCAGGCCATCTGCAGGCACCAGTGACAGGTCCCGCGAGGCGCGCTTCATTTCCGTAGTCACAGACACAGCCCTCAGAGACGCTTTGCCGTCCCGGTGCTCACGCCCCGTGAGGACCGCCCTGCAACCCCGTCTCTGGCAGTTTGGCGGCTCCTGCGCCACACAGCAGGGGGCCCCTGGAGCGGCCGGGGCAGGCGCGCAGGTGATCCGCGGGTCGGGTGGCCTAACACGGTGTGCCCCGAGCAAGCGCACAGGGCCTCCTGCTCCCCTAATAACAGTGTTCTTACTTTATAGATTTATTCCAGAGAAGACAGTTCTGTCTTCCCCAGGTGGTCCTGGTGTGCGAGCCTCTGGGCTCCTGAGCGGACGCGTCACGTGGAGCCCGCCTCTCCTCTCTCCTCCCCCCAACTATCCCCCCCCCAGTCTCGGTTGTTTTGTTTTTATTTATTTTACTTGTTAAAGGGCGTGGTCCTAGGAACCACCTTCCTGCTGACGATAGAAACACACTGTGCTGAGCTGCTGTGGTGCCGTTTTCCAAGCACATGTGTAGCCTCAGCTTTGAGCTTTATTTGCTGTTGTCTTGAAACAATGTGAAATCACTTCGGGTGTTTTAGCCAATGTGCACATTGAAGGGAGACCTTGTTCAGCACTTAAATTTGTTTCCTCCTGCTCCGGAGTGTTGGGGATGCCAGGCGGTGTTCCCAGGTTGGTATGTTAACTTACAGTGACTGTTCTCAAGTTGCAAATGCCTTCAAGCTTCCGAGGTTATTGCTTTAATGTTTTGACTGAAACCTATTTTTAATGAAAAGCTGGAGTTATTTTTATTTGAGAAGATCACCGTCAGTGAGTACCTCACAGCTCACGCCCATCCCACACCCCCTTCACGGCGGCTAGTAAGCGTTTGTGTCTGTTGCTTTCTTTAAAGCCTTACGGTTTGTGGCCATCTTACTGCCTCCTGAAAGCACTCTCAAGGGCGTAACATTGCTGGCCTTGTTTTAATGTTCAGTGCCCACCCATGCCTCAGAATTAGAATTTGATTGGAAATCTGTTTGATTGGAGATCCAAAAAAGACAAAACGTGAAAGGCGTGGTGTGCTGATGCTACGCACTGATATCTAAAACAGCCTTTGAATAAGACCTCATGGAGCGCTTTGTTTGGGATATTTTTGTAACACTCTGAAGTATTAAGTTATATAAAATATTCGACATCACCAAACCCGTCCACCAGGCAGCCACCGTATATACGTCCATGCCGCAGTTTTTTTGGGTTGAAAAGCTGTGCCGGCAGCGCATTCTAATGCTGTAGTTTATTTTCATGCAGAACTTCGGTGATGCCCACTCTTGCCTTCCAGTCCACTTTCCCTTCTCCTGGGTGGCAACATCACATCGCTTTTCATGACCCTGCCATCTCATGCTTCCGGCAGCTTTGGCATTGATGACTCTCAGGGCGGTGAACCAATGTGCTCTGACGGGTCCCCCTGGCTAGTCTGCGGGAGTCACGGAGCATAGCTCTGTCGGCAGCCTGTGCCGGGCCTTGCGGATGGCGTGTGCTGGTCAGTCACGACTCTGGCTTCCACTGTTACTGGTTTCTATTTGCACACGCCCTGCCCCGATCCCACGCTGCGGTGACAGGAGGTGTGGTCATTGGTTCATTCTCTGTGATGTTCATGCATGACCAGGTGTGAGACACGTTGGACAGATTGGATGCTGTGGTGTCACGTCACCGTTGTCCCAGTGCTGACTTCTCTCCTGTTCTTGATATTTGCAGTGGACTAAAGAGGATGGACACAGAACCTCCACCTCTGCTGTCCCTAACCTGTTTGTCCCGCTGAACACTAACCCAAAAGAGGTGCAGGAGATGAGGAACAAGGTGCGTACTGGCTGCTGCCCGCGCGCGGTGGGGGTGGGGGGTGGGGATGGGAGGTGTCGCGTGCTTGCCTGGCGGAGGGCTCCTGCTGCTGCGGCTGTGCCAACAAGTGTGGCGCGTGAGCAGCAGACGGCCGGGGCCCCCGTGGTTCCTGAGCGGATGTGCGCTCACGTCATGGGGCAGAGTCAGACGCCACAGCCCGTTTCTGGCGGGAGCAGCCTTTGCCCCTGCATTGCGGCATTCATTCGCTGAGCCGTGAATGTTTGATGTGTCACATCGTGAGACCCACCAGTGCTCACAGTGTCACCCTGAGAGGGGCACACAGGGAGTGTTTCCCCTCGAGTACTGAGTTCAGTGAGGGACCAGTGCTTGCCAGAGCCGTCCGGAAGGTGCAGAGTCCATCCCCTTAGACTCAGAAACTGCTAAACAAGCCGGACTGGCACCATCAGGCGGGCACTACGGCCCCGCGGGGCCCTGAGGGGCGGGGCTCTGGGGCCCCAGTGCACGCGCAGAATGACTCACAGGCCCAGCGAGTCTTCTCTGTACTATTGATGTGTGTGTCTCCTCCTTGCGCCCTCAGATCCGAGAGCAGAACTTGCAGGACATTAAGACGGCTGGCCCCCAGTCCCAGGTTTTGTGTGGTGTGGTGATGGACAGGAGCCTCGTCCAGGTGAGAGCCCAGGGTGTCTGACGTTAGTGGGTGGTGGCTCTAATGACTGACTGCTCCGAAATTATTCTTGAATTGGCAGGAATGACACTGTGAGGTAAGTGCTCTAGGCAAGCGGTTATCTCTGAAAAATCCTCATGATGAGAAAAAACCTTCCACTTTTCCTGAAATTGTAGACCTAGCCAAGCATGCCCACAGCTGTGGCCTCCCCAGCCCCCTCCGTACAGTGCATGCCTGTGTGAGGGTGGCACTCACGCCGCCTGCTTTGGGACCTGGATTCGCCCTGGTTTTGGCAGTATACTGTGGAAAATGCTAGAAGAGAGTGGGTTTAACAGACTTTCTGTTCTCATGTATATTGCTCTCTGCAATAAAGTGCTGCTTGGGGAAAAGTGGTGACAGAGGGCACCTGTAAATGTCCACATTTACATGCCTTTCTGGAAGAGAACTGTGCTTTGTGGCACGTTGCAGATGGTCGTGTAAGTAGTTACCTCTGAAAATTAAGTTGCCACCTACTGCTTCAAACGCGACTCTGCAGAGTAGGCGTTTGTGCTCTTAGTCGGGCCAGCCGTGGTCCCGGTCTCGTGGTCAGTGTCTGCACGTGCACCGTCACCCCTGCCTCGCTCGCCGTGGACGCCTGTCCCTGCCGCATGCTCCCAGCCGGCTCCAGCCCGTGCGCGCAGCTGCTGTTCAAAGCCGGGCCTGGTGGGCTCTGACGACTCAGTTTACTGTTGCAGGACGCACCCCTCTCTGACTGTACGGAGACAATCGAAGGGCTCGAGCTCACAGAGCAGACCTTTAGTCCTGCTAGATCTCTGTCTTGTAGAAAGGTACTCACCGCCCTGTCCTCAGCCGCCTCTTGGCACGCGCTGCTCTTCCACCTGCCCGTCCCCCACCCCCACCCCCCGCCTGCTCCTGCTGGGCTCCCCCTTCGTTATCCCGTCTCTGAGACGGAGTTCCGTTCTTCCTGTTCTGTTCCTTAATTAAAGTATTTGCTATGAGGTTATTTTTATCGTTCTCAGCCTCCACGAGGTTGTGGAGAAAGGGCCCCCGTTCACGATGCGGTGCATTTCTGAGGGTTGCACGTGACTTTGGTCGGTGCATGCTGTCGGGTTTTAGTTCGCCTTTTAGCGGTGCCGCGGGCAGCAGGCCCTGTGCAGCCTCCGCCTCTGCTTGCTGTGCTGTGAGCGCACGCGCCGTGACGGTGGCCCCTGGAGGTTGTATGATGGAAAGACAGCAGTTCAGGGGAATGGGAAGTAACACCGGACAATCTGTTGTTGATGAGATGTACTTACTTTTTCTCCTAAAACAAAAACAAAAAAATCCTAGGTAATTCTTGAAAAAATGTTTCAAGGGGAAGAAAGACATGAAAACGTGAAGCCCGGAGTAGTGCTCTGTGCACGCAGGCCTGACGCGGATGGCAGACCTGCCCCCTCGGGAGGAGTCCCGGAAGGGCCCCGCAGGGGTGCTGACCGCAGGACGGGCCGCCTGCTTGGGGGGGGGGGGTGTTCAGAGGAGATTTGTAGGGTGTGTCTTTTCCATCCTGCGCCTCCAGGAAGCTGCCGGACTGGTGTCGTGCCGTCCCCGCTGCCAGAGGAGCAGGTTTGCACCAGAGGCTCCGTGCTCCGTGTGCGAACCCACCCACGATGCTGATTTGCCTCCTTGGGTATTAATCCAGCAGGTCCCGGTCTTCCTTATCCTTCGAATGCACTTTGAGCTGTTGTTCTTGGAGGGACTTCTCAGAGCAGGGAGACAGGTGGCCTTTCCTACAGGTCTCAGCACTTTGGGCTGCCAGCCGCTGTGGTCGGTCTCGTGGCTCATCATTTTCTCCAGTGCGTGGAGGCGTGCCGCGTCCGTGAGCCCAGGGGCCTTACTGTGCGGGGTCCCCGCCCTGGCTGCCACCTGTAGTCCTTGGGCAGAGCTGGTTGACGCCGTCACTGCTCTGCAGTCTCTCTGGCCCGGGGTCGCACGTAGTGCTTCCTGCTTGCCCCTCGTTCAGGGTCTCCGGAAGGTAGGCTGGTTAGCTGTATTTAAAGCGGACTTTTTTGGCCAGTTCCTCGTCCAGCCCCAGTTTTGTTTTCATTCTGACGTGTCTGACTCGGATGTACGTCACGGTCATCTGTGAGTACTTCATCAAGTACAGATACGGGGTCCCCCCCACTCCAGCCAGGAAGTCAGAGTCGCTGAGAGTGGGATTCGCCTGGGGGTGCTGCATCCAGGCGGACTCAGTGCCGGAAGCTGCACCCAGCCCAGGCCGGGTTCTTGTTCCCGCCGGCACCCCCTGCCCAGGCTCCTGCCGCTCCCGCTCCCGTTTGCACCCTTGGTCTTTTCCCGCATTTGCTCACTTGGTCTTCTTCTCATTGTTATGTTGAGAGTATGACTCCATCTGTGACTTTGTCTGAAGCTCTTCCCGCATCTTTTGTGCGGATCTCAAAATGCAGGCGGCATTGCCCCCTCTGCAAGGTGCTGCTGCTCTCGGCAAGCTGCGTTTCTCCTTGACAAAGTGAAAAGAACTTTATTACGTGTCCTAAAAATGTCCTCTTCCCGATGAGGCAAATATGTAGATACTTGCTTTTCATTTGAGAATCTGAGGAATGTGGGTCTGGGGCTTAGGAAGTAGGGGCTCTGGGGAAGGACTTTCCTTTGCTTCCATCCCCCCTTCCTGGTGACGGCCGTTCCCACAGGCGGTGTCGTCTTCTGCCTAAAGGAGGAGTGGTGGGTTGTCAGCCACACCCTGAGGGTCTGGCTGAAAAAGAAAGACTGAGCCCAGCCTAAGGCTTTCTTGACTCCATGTTGCTTGCACCAGCACGGAAGCTGCAGCAGTCTGGCCGCCTTCTGGAGGCCACTGCCAGTGAGCTGGGCTGTCACATAGTAGCGCCTATAAGTTCATGCCGAAAACTGCCAGGGGCATCCGGGACCGTGCTGCTGGCTTTGCACACAGTGAGCTTCCCTGTTCTCTGTGCACCTGCATGTGCCTGGGTGGAGTCCCCACACGTGGCGCTGCGTGGTGGAAACGTGAGAGTCCTGGGCCCACCTTGCAGACTTACTCCGTGAACTCGGTGTCGAGCGCCCAGAATCGCGTGGCCCAGCACTAAGAATGTAAATTCAAATCTGAGTGGCTGAGTGGGTTTTATGGGTGAAAAGCCTGATGCTTGGAGAGGTCGGGCCATTAGCATGTTGCATTCCACGCCAGGCGCCTCAGCCAAGCTCAGGAGCAGTTACTGGGCGCTCAGAGCCATGTTCTGTGGCTGGACGTGAGGGGAGTAACGAGGGCCTCTGCGTGGAGAGCACTTACTTCCCGTCCTGGCTTCTCAGCCCAGGCTGTCGCCCCGTGGGGGACCCGTTTCCCTCCACACACCAAACTTTGTTTCCTTTCCCCCCAGATAGCAAGGTCCCTCTGTCCCCAAGTCTGGTCAGAGCCCGGGTCTTGGGATCTTGGCTGCTTGGCCCTCTGCTGAGGAATGTGGAGGAAGGAGGCCCGCCCCCTGCCGGCAGAGGTGGGAACTGAGGAGCCTTGAGGATCTGGGGTCTCCGTGTGGGAAGGGCCTTGTTCCTCTGCAGGCTCCTCTCTGCCAGTTGATTTTTGATATTCATGCCTTGTTTTGAACTGTTGAGTTAAAGGGATTTAAACATTTCTCTCCAACCTCATAGCACCTGGTCGTTTGGTTGGCAGTGCTAATGGGGTGCATGTGCAGCGGGCCAGGTGCCCCAGCTTGTGGGACACCCCCGCTGTCACCCCGGCAGCTCTTCCCCACAACAGCAAAACTGGAGCCCAGGCGCAGGGAACAGGCTCTACCGAGAAGAAGGATTCGATTCCTTGTCCTGAGGAGACAGGGCAGCTTCCGAGTGAAAAGCCAGTTGACTTCGGGTCAGCCTTGGTCAGAAAGTGGGCTCCCCTTGACCTTCCAGGTTGTCTCGGCTCTTGAGGCTCTCGGAGCAGAGGCGGCCAGTTCCAGCAGGTCCTTCCCTTCTCTTCCTGGGTCTGCATCCCGGGTCACTCTTGGGGTGCTCTGGACGCTCTGCACCCAACCTGCTGGACAGTGACCCCTCAATCCGGGTTGCCCAGCCTTTGCCAGGGCAGCAGGTGGCCCAGGTGAGCTGGCTGTCCCCAATCTGGCTCTGGCTCTCGAGCACGTCGCTCGGCACGCTCTGTGTCTGGTGCTCGCCCCTCACTGAGGAGAGTGTCGACAGAGCAGGCCTGGCGTCAGGATTTTGGCTGCTTCTCTCCTAGGTGGTTTTTGGAGGCCCCCATTAAGTAACGCACATGTGTGTGAGTTCTGGCTGACTTCCTCGGCGAATAACCCAGGGCATTTGGGGGCCAGCCAGGGTGGGCTGTGTGCGGAGCTTCGCTGGGGCAGGCGAGGGTGGGCTGGCCGTCACGTGCCCAGGGCTGCCTCCCTCCCTCCCCGCCCCCCCCACTCTGCTCTGGGGCCCACGTGCCCCCTGTGCCCCGCCCCAGGCCTGTCTGTTCCCTGCAGATTGGGTGTGACCTGAGAGCTGCTTTCTCTCTGTTTTCTTCTCTTTTCTTCATGTTTCTAGTTTTCCAAATAGCTCAGACAAATACTGGTATTTTGAGACTTTAAAACAATTTCTCGGTGTTTTAGGACAAGTTTAGGAGCTGGTTATAAGCCAACACATACTCACAAGGACAGAACTTACATGTGAACTTAGATAGCAAGCAGGTCTCCGAGCACACTTTCCCTGACCCTTGACATTTTCTCCTGTCGCGAGGAGAGCAGTTGACTTAAAAAGGCCGCCCTTCCACCCCGCCTGTCAGCACGGAGCCGGCCTTCCGGAGCTGCTCTGCTCTGTGCTGTCTGTCTGCACCGCCTTGCCTGTGCTTCTGAACCCAAGGGCTCTCCTGTGGGTTTTCTTTCCTCCTGGTACCTTTGTTTTGTGGCATCGAAATTGTGTTTCTCTGTCTCCTACCCCTGGAGGCCGCAGTCCGGCCTCCGCCTCAGGGCCCAGGGCGATCCCCAGGCCGAGTCTCAGGGATGCGTGTGCTCCCAGAAACCCCTGGAAACCTGCCCACCCCGCCTGCAGCCTTGCCCGGGATGGGGGAGAGTCCCTGCGGGCAGGGCTCACACCGACGATGCGCCCCTTTTTGTCCGCAGGGGGAGCTGGTGACGGCCTCCAAGGCCATCATTGAGAAGGAGTACCAGCCGCACGTCATCGTGAGCACCGCGGGCCCCAACCCCTTCAGCACGCTCACCGACCGGGAGCTGGAGGAATACCGCAGGGAGGTGCAGCGGAAGCAGAAGGGCCCCGGAGGTGAGCATGCGCGTCCTGGGCAGTCCTGGGCACGCTGGCGCAGGCCACACAGGCTGTCCCCGAAGTGAGAGAAAGCGCTGTGCCCACTCCTTTGTGCCCAGGTGTTGACGGTGGGTGATGAGGTCCGTGGGTCGCATGAAAGAGCAGCCTCGGTGTGCTCAGGACCAGAGTGTCCCTGAGCGCCCATTTCCTAGTTCCGAAGGAATACGAGCATAAGACACACTTGTGAGTGTGCACGGTGTGTGTGCCAGAGACCGTGTTGGAGAGCCGAACGTCTCCCTTGCTGTGCCCGTGTGCCGGCAGGCCCGCGGCCCATGTGCGGCCTGCCCTGGCGTGTCCCCTGGCGTGTCCCTGCCCCAGCGGGGAGTGTGGCCGCGTGCTGGCGCGGCCCTTTGTTTCTCTCGGTGACTCCCTGACGCAGGAGGTGAAATGCAACGGGACATTTTGCAACACATGGAAGTAAACGGCTCTGAGAGCCAGAACCTCACGGAGCAGGTTGTTTCCAACTTTAGGTTTTTAAAAGTAGATGCAAGAATTTTGAGAACGAGAGGTGAGCCTCCCACTGCCTGTCTGCCAGGAAGGCTCCGGTGGGTCTGCGTCACTTCCCCCGTCAGCCCTGGTTGAGACCAGGGAGAGCCTGGGCGCAGACCCCTGCCCCTCCGCCCAGGAGGGTCGTGCTGCTGTCCTCAGGGCCTTAGGTCTTTGTACTGGAGCCTCTGGTCCTAAGTAGGGACCACACTCCCTGCTAGGCCTGCTCCCTACAAATCAGCCTTCTGGAATGGAAGTCCCACAGCGTGCCGTGGCCCTGGGTCTGCGGGGTATTGACCTGGGAACTAGTATTGCTCCTGAGTCTCTGATTTGCCCTGGTTTAGGTTTTTCTGGTTTTGTTTTAGACTAAATAATACATTTTGTAGCTGCTGTTGAAATTTGGTAATGCAAAAGACTGTTGTTTTCCGTCTGTGTCACTTTGTTAGGTGTGCATGAAAATTAAGACTTCGTGCACATCGATTCCGAGGGAGCCCGGTCTTCCTGTCACCCCGGTCCCTGCCTCTCTGATCGTCTCCCTGGCATGTGCACACAGCCCTGCCGAGAGCTCTGTGCTGTCACCATAAGTCCCTGCCTCAGAGTAGAGCCCCGGGGGTGGTGCGTGGGCCGGCCCTCATTCCAGAGCACTCGTGCGTCTGCCCCTCCCGTGTCGGGGGGCCTGGATTACAAGACGTCAAACCACAAGACATACAGGAGTTTCCCCCACACATGAGGCTCCGCGAGGAGGGACAGTCCAGCAGTCCAGCGGACAGGACAGCTGTGACCGTCCTCTGTGACCACAGAGCTGTCAGCAGCGGGAGTGCCTGTGGAGGCCCCGCCCGCACTGCAGCTGGCCTTGGCGTGGGGGCAGGGATGGGGTGGGTGCCGTAGGTCAGCGCTTCACTTCTGGCCGGACGGAAGAAAGCCTTGGGGCTTTGGCACCTTCTCCGGGTTGAGGGAACTTGTAGGAGATGCGAAGGCCTTTGTTTATAGAAATTGGACTTCAGGAAGGTGAGTTCACATCTCATTGAGATCAGAGGCCCATTCAGATAACGTTGTTCCAAATAGGGGACCTAGTGATGCTAACCCTTAACAGAAAAAGTGTAAGTAAGAGAAGGAGATTTAGGGAATGAAGATAACATTGGTATGTATTTTTTTCTAAACGAAAAGTAGACTTGAGTTTCCCATATCTTGGGTCCTAGTACTTGTAATTTTTCCTCTGGTCCTTATCAGATATTTTATTTGAGAAAATAAAAATATGCTTTATAGCTGCCAATTTTTAAAAAAACATTTTTTTTAATGTTTTATTTATTTCTAGGAGAGAGAGAGACAGTGTGAGCAGGGAGGGTCAGAGAGAGAGGGAGACACAGACTGAAACAGGCTCCAGGCTCTGAGCTGGCAGTCAGCACAGAGCCCGACGCGGGGCTCGAACCCACGAACCGCGAGATCATGACCTGAGCGAAAGTCGGACGCTTAACCAACTAAGCCACCCAGGGCCCCTATAGCTGCCAATTTTAAATTATTGGTAGAAAATGCTCTACATAGAAAATGAAAACCCATGTGATTCTCACGTTCCATCCACCCCTTGAGGAGGTGAGGTGAACAGGGACGCTGGGCTGCTAGCTCAGCAGTGGGGAGGGGCTCCTCCCTGGACAGATAAGGACAGGCCAGGGGTCGCCAGTCACAGTGCGCCACAGTATCGGCTCTGGCGGTTTCTCTCTGGAGTAAGAATGGAAATTAATTTAGTTTCCAAAGTTGTTAAATCTTTCTAAAATTTAGAGGCATGGTCACAGTGGGCTTGCTTCGTCCTGGAGGGGTGAAGGCAGCGTGGTCATGAGCCCTCCCAGTCTCCTAGATAGATGCAGCCAGACGGGCTGGGGGTGCGGGGGGCAGCCTGCCTTGGAGGAGGGTGAAGGCTCATGATGTCTGAAGCTCTTCACCGTGTGCTGCTCACTGTCCGTCTGCAGAGAACCTGGATGAGAGCAGAGAGGAGAAGGAGAAGAGTCCTCCAGAGCCCCCTGCTGGCCCCCACACCCCCCCCAGCACCCCCGTCAAACTTGAGGAAGGTGAGCCCTTGCTGCCCCGCTGTGGGATGGCCTTCGGGGTCCGGGGCCCACCAGGAGCAGTGGGCTTGGGGTTGTTGCCCCATGTGGGGTGGCGGGGAGCAACCGGGAGTGCGGTCGTGGGACCAGGCGAGGAAGCGCGCGTGCGTTTGGACGCCGCCCTCCTCCCTGGCGCTGGCACTGTCCTCGGTAACTTGAGGCCAGATGGTTATTAGTGAGAGGTCGGGACGAGGCGGGAGGGTAGGTTCTGGGGACTGGACCCCACCTTCGTTACGATGTCTGTTTTGCCCACCGCTTACACGGTCCTTAGACTTTCCTGAGTGCAGGTTACCCCTCTGGAAACGTCTTCCATCCTGTCTGAGCCGCGGGACCTCGTTGGACCTGCCGCAGTAATCGGTCCCTGCCGAGCGCCGGCCTCCGTCGGCCTCTCGGACCACGCACTGCGTGTCTGTGGCGTGCGGCCCGCGTGTCTGTCCCTCCGTCTTCCGTGTCGTGCTTCCCATGCCTGCTGGGGGCCTGTGCGCCGCCCTCTCCCGTTCTTTGTCCACAAGAATGGCTCCGCCGTTCTTCCGTAACCCGCGGCTGTGACTGAGTGCCTAGGTTCTCTCTGTGCTTTTCTCTTCCTGTGGCTGCATCACAAGCCGGAGGTGGATGTGCTAAAGAGTACCTGTTACCATAGTAAGTACCGCCCGGCCGGCCCGCTGCTGCCTGACCGCACCCCTGTGCTTCGCTTCATTCTCCTGCTTCTCTGTTGTTCATTAGGGTTTGTTTTCTGTTTATTCAGAATAAAAATAGAGCCCCCCCCACATCCCTTTCTTGCACCCGATTCCTCCATCCCAGGCAGTGGCATCTTGGCAGGGCCTCGGTCTCCAGAGAGTTGGGTGGTGGCAGCCTGTCCCTGGGGACCCCGGACTGAGGGCACTTCTCAGGGCGCCCTGGGCCTCGGAAACTCCGGAATGATTATGTTGCCCGGATCAGCCCTTGACTGCTCGGTGGGAGGGTTTTGCTGTTTGGATCAGACGTCCGTCTAGACTAGGTTCAGACCTCGCAGGACTTTGCCACTCACTGGGTGTTTGGATCTTTGCTTAAGCTGAGTGCTCAGACTTAATTTGAGGTGGGGCAGAAGAGCTACATTTGCCACTGTTTTTTGTTTTTTGTTTTTTTTTTTAATTTCTAGGAGAGAGAGAGACAGCGTGAACAGGGGAGGGTCAGAGAGAGAGGGAGTCACAGACTGAAACAGGCTCCAGGCTCTGAGCTGGCAGTCAGCACAGAGCCCGACACGGGGCTCGAACCCACGAACCACGAGATCATGACCTAAGCAAAAGTCGGACGCTCAACCGACTAAGCCACCCAGGCGCCCCTATTTGCCACTGTTTTTAATATGACTTTTAGCCACGTGATGGAAGTTCCATGAGGCACCACAGACAACCTGTGTGCTTTGCAGAGTGCATCTCAACTTCCTCCCGCCCTAGCCAAGTGAGGACATTTCATTATCCTGGGACAGAAGGTGGCTAAGGGCAGGGGACGGGGCAGCGCCAGCCTCCCAGAACCTAAGTGCTAAGTGTCTCGGGCCCAGAGCCTTCTTTGCCGGCTGCACCTCCCCCACACTCTGTCCGGAGCCCCTCCTGACTTCCGGCTCCATCTCCCCCTCCATCTCCCCGTCCTAGATGGTTTGCTGTTGCCTGAGCAGCCAGGCGCCTGTAACTCCTAGGCTGTCCCCCTCCCCCCAACCTCGCCCATCAGAGTCTGTGTAGAAATCTGGTGACAGGGACCTTCACTAGCAGCCCGCCCGCAGACCACGTAGGCTTTACCCATTTGTTTCCATGTTCAACTTGTGAGGATGGCCCGATGTTTTGCTGCTACCCTTACGTCATAGTTCATCTCTCTTGATTTTCCAGCCTAAAATGGCTATATTTTGTTTGATGCGGATACCGCGCACGGGTCTGGGAGTAGCTGTGATTTTTCTGTGCTTTCCTTCCCCGGGGAAGCCCGGTGTTACGGACTGAAATTTAGGCTTAATTTCAGGACTACTAGTAATGTGCCCTTAGGATTCTAGAACAAATTTCTATTCAAGTGCTAATGCAGGACATTGTCCTACTGAAATGCTCTCTGCTCGCCCACCTCTCTGACTGGGGACCGAGGCCCTGTCAGCGAGCGCCCTGTCCCCGAGCAGGAGCTGCAGCCGGCCCTGAGATGGTGCCTACGTTCTGTACTCTGAGCCCCCGGCCCTGAGCCCCCTGAGTAGAGCAGACCTCACCTAAAGTTTCACTCTCGTGTCGGTAACCCCCCCCCGAGTCCAGCGCCGGAGGGCTCCGTGCGGGGCTCTGCCTTGCTCTTGGGGTCCCCCCGGCCCCCCGAGGTCCGGGAGCCGCTCTTCAGCCCTGTCTCTCCTACCCCGCCCGCCAGAGCTGCCGCAGGAGCCCGCCTCCGGAGAGGACAGTGACGCTGCCACCTTCAAGCCGACTCTCCCCGACCTGTCCCCTGATGAGCCTTCAGAAGCGCTGGGCTTCCCGACACTGGAGGAGGAGGAGGAGGAGGAGGAGGAGGAGGGGCTCTGTGAGGCCCGCGAGCCCCCCAGCCCCGCCAGGTCCCCCCTGGTGGCCAGCCCCGAGCCGGCCTCCACCCAGGCGGCTGAAGAGGCCGCCTCCCCAGCTGCCGAGGAGGGGGCTGCCGTGGACCCTGGCAGCGACGGGTCTCCGGGCAAGTCCCCTTCCAAAAAGAAGAAGAAGTTCCGCACCCCCTCCTTTCTGAAGAAGAGCAAGAAGAGGGGGGACTCCTGAAGGCCCCGTCCTGCGCCAGCCACCGCCCCCAGACCGTCCCCGAGCGTCTCGTGTTGTCTTCCCGTGTGACGGAATGCGAAAGCCCGCCCCCCTGCGTAGCTCGAGCTCCCCTCGCGGCGACCAGACCCCCACGTACGCCGGTGCTCCCCTCGCGTGCGCACAGCGCCCTGCCCCCGTCCCTCCCGCCTCCCCCCGCAGCCCCCAGTTCTGGGGGAGGCGGATCCACATCCCTCCTGTCTGCGCGCCCCCTCTCCCCCCGGGGTGAGAAGTCCTGGCTCCGGCCGGGCAGTTGGAGGCCCTGCCGGCTCTGGCCGTGGCCTCTCTCTCCTTCTGTCGTAAAGTGACCCACGCCGTGTGTCTGCTAGTCTCCCCTTCCCCCCGAGGTCTCAGGCGACTGGATCTGAGCTGTAGTTGCCGGGTGGCGCCGCCTGCCGGGTGAGCGAGCGCACTCTGCAGATACAAAGCCTCGGTCCTGTGGAAACCCCTGTGCCTGCCAACGGCCGGGCCCGTGACAGCCCGTGAGCGGGGGTTAGGGCTGAGCCGGAAGCCCCGACAGCAGAGGGGCCCGTGTCCGCCCAGCACAGCCCACGCGTGGTCGCGTTACCCTGAGGCCGGAAACTGGCTCAGGGCTCCCCGTTCCTTACTCGCTGGGGTCTCTAGATTCCTGTCGTGGGGAAGATACGTCAAGGTGAGGGTGGGGGTGGGGAAGAGTCCTTTCTCGAATTTTCCTTCAGTAGGTTTGCAGTTCACCCTACGATTTTTACCGTGAATGGGCCACTTTTTAGTTTTCCCTCTGCTCACTTCTCTGGGGGACGTTTTGGACCGAGACGGGGTCTTCTGTTACTTTAACTCTGCCTGAAAGACCCCTCCCCCCCAGGGTTTGGTGAAAGGTGGCCCAACACCAGCCCGGCGGTCCCTCCCTCACTGCTTCCACCAGGCGCTTCGGAGCCTGACTTGCTCTCCTTGTTCGACCTGGTGATTCTCACTTAACTCCGACCCAAGAAACCACGTGAAGCTGCTTAGCGGGACCGGTGGGTGACCCCGTGCGGGAGCGGACCCGGTGCCACCGCGGCCGGGTCCCACGCTCCTGACACCCAGGCAGGGCCTGAGGCTGGCTGCATGGCGCTGATCGCTGCTTCGAGCTTGCTGGCGACCTGCTTTTCTCCCCTGTCATTTTGTGGCCATGGTGGCGTCTGGACCCTGCGCCCTCAGCCCGTACTTCAGCGGACCCTGGACTCTCTACCCCTCCCTTTTGTCCCTCACGTGCAACTTTCATTTCACTTTTGTAGTTTATTTTAACTCTTTGTATCACAACACGAAGTTTAGTCGCGTGTATGGACACAGGCTTGGGAGGGTGGGGCCTCTGTCCTCCGCTGTGACCTGTTTTACTCACAAATAAAATTTCTTTAAGCAGTTTCCTTGTCTAAACTTGGGAAACAGTTTTGCATTTTTTTCCCCCTTTTCTTTGTTCCTTTAAGATAGGACTTCTAGAAGCCTGTCTTGAGTCCCAGGTAGAGATCCCAAGGGTTTACTTCTTGATAGGACACTGTCGCTCTGCACCGGGGAGGCCCCCAGAACCGCCCTGCCCGGGGGCACCAGCCTGGCCCTGCGGTCCCAGCAGACAGGCAGGCGGGAGGGTGCTGGGCTCCCTCCTCTCCCGGCGGCCGGGGTGCAGGGCGCGGCCCGGGGAGGGCCCTGCATCGCGCGCTCTGTCCTCCCCGTCGTGCAGAGTGGCCACGGGCCGGGACGAGCCTGGGACCTGCCTGCACTGACCGGGGGGCTCCGGGGGGGGGGGGGGGGGGGGGGGGGGGGCGGTGAGGCGCAGCCGTGTGCTGGCGGAAGGCGCTTGGTATAAAGTAGCTGCTTTATTTTGTCATTCGGAGGGTTGGCTGATACTGTGTCTCGGAGAAGAGCGAACAGAAAGCCTGGAAGGTTTTGGAGTCCCTGCTCCCAGGTCGCAGGCAGGCCTGGCCAGGCCCCCGCCGCGGAGGGGCTGGAGTGTCTGGCAGGGGCCGGGGCCGGGCCCCAGGGGGAGGGGAGGGGCCCCCCAGCTTGGGACGGGGCTGGCTCAGCTACTCGGCCTTGGCCTTGGGCGCCGCGTGGGCTGGAGGCCTCAGGCTGCGCAGCAGCAGGAAGGGGAGCAGGAAGAGGCCGGAGCACACGGTGAAGCAGGCCCTGGCCCCCGCCAGCCAGTACGCTGTGGAGAGACCGTCCGGGCGGTGACGCGGCCCGCCCGCCCCGCCGCACCTCCGCCCCCAGACGGCAGGGCCCACCCACGGCCCGAGGTGGCCAGCACCGAGGGCGTGGCGGGGGAAGGCGTCCCGGAGGGGCCGTGTGGCCTCCCCTCAAGGCCGGCAGCCCCCGGGCCCGGAGCCCTCACCTGAGGCAGCCACCAAGGGTCCCGCCGCCCTGGCCAGGGCGCCGAGGCTCCGCAGCGTGCCCATGATGGTGCCCTTCTGCCCGGGCAAGCCTTTGGGGGAGAGAGGAGGCCGTCAGGTGCTTGCTGGCCTCCGCCCACTGCGGTGCCTCCAACGATGAAGGGCTCCCCTTACCGTAGTCCGCGACCACAGAGGACAGGCAGGGCACCACGACGGCGGCAGCTGCATGGGGACACCAGGGAGGTGGCGGTCAGCCCCCCGGCGACGCCCGGAGGGCTGCGACGCAGGATCCCTGGCCACCAGCTCCCTACCGCCCCCACCCTGGCCCCGGGAGGACCCCTCACCGAAGGAGTAGAGCAGCAGCCCCAGGCCGAGCGCGGGCAGCGTGAGCCCCCAGCCGATGAGGAGGAAGGCGGGCACCAGCAGCAAGATGGCCTGCGGGGGGCACAGCAGCGCTCAGGACCCACCCCTGCTGCTTCCAGCGGGACTCGGGACACCGGCCTGCCCCTCGCTTCCCCGGGGTGGGGGGCCTCGTACCCGCTTCACCGCTGCAATCTCCCCGCCGGGGCTGATCCTTCGGGCGTAGGCGCCCTGCACGGTGGCCATGGTGAGGCCGATGAAGAAGAACATCTTTCCCTGCTGCAGGCTGGCGGCGGGGGAGCCGTTAGTGCCTCGGTGTGACCGCCTGCTCCCGCCAGCCACGCCGCAGCCCGAGAGCACCTCCGTGGGCCTTGGCCGGCGCCTGCCCCCGGGACGGGCCAGGGTGGGTGTCACTGAGGCGGCAAGGACAGGCCAGCGCCCCTACCTGCTGAACTGGAAGCGCTGGTGAGCGAGGAAGCTCAGGGTGAACTCCAGGCCCGAGAACAGGAAGAGGTAGAGGAAGTAGACCAGGCCCAGGCGGCGAAGGCGACCGAGCCCTGGGGAGCACGGAGAGCGCTGTAAGGGGCCAGCAGCCTGAGAACGCCACAGTCCTGCCCTCACGAAGGGGGTCCCCAGCTTCTTACCGTCTCCAGCAGGTGGGTCCTGGCCACGGGCCACGGCTGAAAAACGGAGCAGGGCCACGGGGCTGAGCAGGTCTGCGGCGGCCCGGAACCCCGGGCCGATGGAGGGTGCCTGGGCGGGGGGGTGGGACTGGGGAGGCCGGCCAGGCAGCTGGGGAGGGCCACGACCTGAACCTGGCCTGGCCTCCGGGCCAGCTGCCCGGCCCAAGACGCAGGGGTCTCCGGAGGCACCGTGGCCCCAAGCACGCCTGCGCAGAAGGAGAGGCCAGCCCGGCCTTCCCGGGCATCCCCACGTGCCCACAGAACCGAGCCCCCGGCCTGGGGCCCATCAGCAGGCTCTGGGACCCTCCTTACCCGCTTCTCCGGGGGCAGCGTCTCCGGCAGGAAGCAGAAAATAAACAACAGGTCGGAGGCAGCAAAGAGCAAAGCGAGCCAGGGCACCGTGTCCGCAGGCAAGAAGGCGCCAAGCATGGGGCCCAGCGTGAAGCCCAGCGAGAAGGCCACTCCGATGACTGCCTGGGGAGAAGGCCGCCTGAGCCGGGCGGGGCTGGGCGACCCCAGGCAAGGACTCCCCACCTCCTGGTCCCACTGTTCGCACGCACCATGCCTCTGCTGCGGGCGGAAGCTGAGCCCAGGTCGGCAACGATGGCGGTGGAGAGGCTGACGTTCCCCTTGCTGATGCCCCCGATCACCCTGGAGGCCAGGAAGGCTGCGAAGCTCTTCGAGGCCGCCCACACGGCATACGAGGTGGCCAGACCTGCCTGTCCCCACGGCAAGTGTGGTCACTCGAGGCCAGGAGGGGCCCAGAGTCGGGCGGGCAAACCCAGGTAACACCGTTGGGACCGGGCCCTGTTCTGGGTAACCCAGGGCCCGCCTGTGTTCCCCATGTCCCCGCGGACAGGGGGCAGCTCTGGGAAAGCCTGCCTTAGCCACGGGAGCCAGCTCCCAAAGCAGCACACCCAGGTGGCAGCTCGGGCCGCTGCCGGGGGTGGGGGGTTGCGGTGGGCACCCATACCAGGGACAGCAACATCACTGGGCGCCTCCCGAGACAGTCCGAGACCGCCCCCGTGACTGGTGCCAAGAGGAACTGCAGGAAGGAGAAGACCGAGCCGATCAGACCTGAAAGAGACAGACGTTTGGGTCACACGACCCGATCAGTCCTCATAGGTCTGGTGACGCCGGGTGGGCCCCACAGAGAGCGGACACTGCATGTGGAGAGGGGGCACAGTGCCCAGGAGCAGGAAAGCAGGGACAGGGACCCCAGGGGGCCCCAGCGTACCTCCGAACAGGACACTGTTGTACCTCTTCTCCGCTGGCATCCTGATGGCCGCGGCAAACCAGTCCACCCCTCGCTGCCACGAGCCGTAGAGGGGATCCTGGGGAACAAGAAGTGTGACAAGGGTTGGGGGAGTCCCTGATGGGGTCTGGGGCAGTGGGCAGCCATCGTCGGAGTCAGGGAGCCGCCAGACAGGGGGGAGGGCTCACGTGGGCACGACCGTGGCTCTCCAGCAGCCCTGGCAGCAGGGGCAACAGCAGAGTGAAGGCCAGGAGGTCCAGGAGGAGGCCGAGGAAGACCACAGCGATCACACGGGGCTCCCGCACAGGCTGCTGGCGGATGGGTGGGCGCGGCGTGCAGCTCCCTCCTGCTCCCCAGCCCATGGTGGGGGCCGCTCCGATACCACCTGGCTGAGAGTGTGGCGGATCTGCATGAGGGAGCCTCTGGGTACCCCAGAGCCAGAGGCCTATCCTGTACCGGGGGAAACCCAGGCCCCCAGTCTTCACCGTGCCCCCAACCCGCTAACAGCCAGCAAGTACCCTGAAGGGAGTGCCTGCCCGCCGTGCTAGTGGGTGCCCGTTACCCAACACATGGGCCCCTCAGTGCACCCTCTCCCGATGCCGGGCAGTAGGAAAGTCAGGCTGAAGGTTGCGCAAAGAGACCGCAGCCACCGATGCCAACCGTCCCGAGGGGCCGGGTTGGGGGCATCGGGGCCCCGGGGACCGGTCTACCCCACGCAGCCGCCCCAGGTCCTCTAGCGGAGTGGGCCGGGAAACTGAGGCCCGGGCGTAGGGCGGCCCCGACGGTGTCCCCGCGTCCTGGAGAACACGACCCCCGCGTGGAACCCCGGCCCCCGGTCCCCACTCCGCCCCGCCCAGGACCCCGGCCCCCGACCTCCTCCGCCCTGTCTCGCGCCGCTCCGCCCCGCCCGGAATCACGGACCCCAGCCCTCTGCCCGGCCCAAGACCCCGACCCCCACCCCGGCTCGCATCCTGGGCGGGGCAGTGGGGCGCGCACTGGACACGGGAGCAGCCCCTCCCTGCACCTGCCGCGGCCGCGCGCTCGGGGCGATCGGACAGTCGGACTCACCAACTGATGGACGGATGCGTAATGGACCGCGCACGCTGCCGGGAACGAGCGCGCGCCGGCCACGCCCCCTCCCGCCCCGGAAGCGGGCGGCCGCACGCTTCCTCTTCCGGCCGGCGCGCCGCCTTCCCGGCGCCCGCGGTCCCTCCCCGCCGCCCGCTCCTGCCTGCGCGGGTGTCTGGGCGGCTCTGCGTGTGCGCCCGGGCCCGGGGCCCCGGGACCCCCAGCGTCCAGCCGGCCGCGCGCTGGCCTCTCTGCCACCGGCCCGGCCCAGGGCGGCGGGCTCCCACAGCTGCTCACCACCTCCGGCCACGTGCCCTCCGGGGGTCGTGGGACTGGTCGACACGAACTAGAACGCAACGGGAAGTTCTGGAAATGAGGTTCGGCGTCCAAGTTGACCTGCGGCCACAGCCCCCCCCCCCCCCCCGGCAGTCTGCACTCGCACACGCTCTTTACACCGTGTTAAACTCCAGGCAGAGCGAGCAGCAGCCACACGCTGCCCGACGGGGGCGGGGAGTCCTCTAACCGAGAAGCAAGCCGTAGGCACTTTCTCCACAGGACTCGTTCGGGCCGCGTTCCTTTTCCTCCAGCCGCGCCCTGGGGGAGGGGCAGGAGGGACGAGTGGCGACTAGTGGCCCAGAACGGCTCTCGTGGCCAAGCTGGTCCTTGCTGGGTTTCACCCCTTCTCGGGCCCCTGTATCCTCACCTCTGCCAGTCGAGGCAGAGCTGGGATGGGGCAGCCACACAGACCCTGCAGTTTCCGAGACTTCCGTGTGCAGGGGGTCCGGGGAGAGGCCCGGGGCGGGCAGAGCTCCGAGGGCCGAAGCTGGGCTGCCGGCCGTGCCACGCTCAGGGGACCGGACAGCGGGGGCTCGCCAGGGAGCCCGGGGCTGGGGGACAACAGCGGGGAGGGGAGGCCGGTGTGGCCCGGGGACGGGACCCTGCCAGGGGCCCCTGGCTTTGCGGAGCCGCGCAGCCGGCAGACCTCTGCCCCTGGGGCCCCCCCCCCCCCATTCCCACGACTGCCCTCGGCATTCAGCGCTCGGGGCCTACGGGCTCCGGCGGCTCCACCGCCCAGTCTGTCCAAGATCAAACTCCCACTTCTCCCCGCCGCCCTCAGGGAGGCCAGAAACCCATCCTGCCCCCCCGCCCCCCCCGGCCAGTCCTCAGACCTCGTGGTCACTGCCGTGGCGGCGGCCCCCGGGACCGGCTTCTCGGCGCGGGCACCAGCGCCACCTCGCAGGACTGGCTGCCCCACGTGACGTCGGCGCCAGACCCCGAAGCCCCTGCCAAGCGGAGGCCTCCGCACCTCACCGGGTGTTCCAGAACCTTACGTACAGGCTTCTGTACAGGAGCCAAGAGCCGTGGTCGTGCCCACGGAGCTGGCCCGCCCCCGGCCCCAAGCCCGGTGTCGGACTCCGTCCGGACGGAGGAGACCGTCCTGGGAGGTGAGCGGCGCTCACGAAGGAAGCAGAGGCCACGCCGACGTGTCAGCCGCCTTTATTACGGTTGGTCCACAGCATCGCCGCCCAACTTGCGAAATTTTATTTTTTGAACTTTTTCCTCTTCAGAGCCTTCCATTCTCCCTCCTGCGTAGCCAGACTGTTGAACAGGTGTTTCACTCTGCGCTTCCTTTCCGCATCCCTGCAAAGGCAAGGCCACAACCGTTTCCGGGGTTGGCTTCTCCGCCGGACGCCCCGCCCCCCAGCAGCGCGCGAGCACGCGCACGCGAGCGCGAGCGCGCCGGGGCCAGCCCCGCCCCGCCCCTCCCCTCCCCCCCGCTCGCCCCGCCCCGCTCGCCCCGCCCCGCCCCGCCCCGCCCCGCCTCACCGCTCCAGGGTCTCGGCCAGCTGCATGCGGGCCAGGAACTGGTTGTCCCTGCGGATCTCCCTGACGGCGCCTTTAAACTCCCGCCTGTGCTTGTGGACCAGCCGCCGCCGCTCCTGCTCCTCCCTGGTGCCTCCCTGCTTCCGCCCGAACTCCAGGCTGAGGGCGCAGAGGCAGCGTCACGGGGGTGCGCTCTCCCCCGGGGCTGTTCCCACCCGCCCGCGCAGGGGCCGCGGCTACGCACACTTTGACCAGCCGGGGGGTGAACAGCTTCAGCGGCACCGGCTTGCTCTTCTCGCAGACCAGCGGCCGGCAGCGCGGCTCCCGCTGCCCCATGGCGGCCAGCGCGTCCCGGCACAGCTCCTGGAATCGGGCGGGGGAGCGGAGGCTGCGGCAGGCCCGCCCGCGGGTGGCCCCCAGGCCCCGGGGAGAGACAGACGCGGCCTCCCGCTGTGCCGCCGCCCCCCCCCCCCCCCCGCTAAGTAAAGGGGCGCAGGCCCGGCTGAGCGGGAGCCCCCTTCACGCTGGCAGGGGTGGGGGCCCGCGCAGGGCGGGGCGGCTGGCAGCGCTGCAGAGGGTGTCGTGTTTGCACACCTGGGGGCGAGCACGGCCTGCGCTTCGGGGTCCCGCAGACCAGGTGCAACCTCCTCCCCCAGCGAAACCGCTCACAATGGGCGCCAGCGACCCGCCCGCCGTTACGGGCGCACACGGGCAGCCTTCGCTTGTACCCCGGGGGCCAGGGCTGCGGGGCAGCCAACAGGGAGCCACACGGTGGGGCAAGACTGTGAACCACCACGGCTGTGGTTCCAGAAGAGGTAGCCGGGCTTCTGAGGAACCTAGAAGGTTCCTCTCACATAGCTGTGCCCTGGAACTCAGGCCTCTGGCCCCACGGGCACAGCCCCCCGTCACCCTCAGCCAGCACAGCTGCTTCCAGGGCCCAAATCCCCGTCTCCACAGGAGCCGGATGTGCTGCGTGGTCAGCTCAGCTCGCCCAGGGTCGGTTAGCGCCATCGAGGCCAAATCCCGCAGGGCCATTAAAGGACAAGCCACAGCCGCACCGACAGTAAGACGGCACAGCTGTTGCCGCCTCAGCCTCATCAACTTCTACACGGTGAGGTGGCTCCATGTGGACAGAGGCCCGGCAGCCCGGGCTCGGAGGGTGACCAACAAGGACAGCTGAGCGGCCTGTCCGTGTGCCAGCGGGGTAGACGTGACAGACACACGGCGCGGAGGAGAGGGCAGGGAGGGCGTGGGCGGCCGGGCTCCCTGAGGACAGCGAGGGCATGAGCCACCTGTCTTTAGGGACAGTGCTCCAGGCCGAGGGAAGGGCGAGTGTGAACTCTGCAGATGAGGGGGTCCGAGCGGGTGAAGAGCGTGCCCGCTCGCATGGCCTCACGCACCACAGTCCCGCCTTCGCCTTCTGTCTGCTGGGCCTGGACGGCCGCTCAGACAGAAGCCCGTGGCCGGCTGGGGACGACCCGGAGAAGACGGGGGGGTGGGGATGTGAAGGTCGTGAAGGCAGGACTAAAACATGTGCCACAGGACTGGCGGCTGTTGAAGACACTGGTTGAGACAGATCAAGGGGGGTCCTTCGTGGCTTCTGCACCTCGTAAAGGACAGCGGGACTGTTCTCAGAAAACCCGTGAGGCCCGGGGCGACGCGGAGCCCAGAGCCGCTGCCCAGGCTGGAGGGCACGTGACCACAGGGCAGCTCGCAGACCAAGGTGCCGAGCAGACGCCGTGGGGAGCGCAGTGCCTTCCCGTCACCGCCCCGCCGCGCCTTCCGCCAGTGTCCCCGATCGCTAGAGCCACGGAACGTCGCCTGCCCTGCTCCCCACGCAGGGGGCAGCCGGGAAGCCTCACCTGGAGCTCCGGGGGCTGACTGCGGGCGGCCAGGTACTCCGTCAGCAGGGCGCGGAGGGGCCGCACGATGTCGTGGAAGGACGGCAGGGAGCCGTACAAGAGCACGCAGCGCTTCACCAGAGCCAGACACACGGCTAGGCACGACAGTCTGCAAGGGAGCGACACGCGGCGTCAGGGCAGGAGGGAGACGGGAGCTGGCTCCTTCCGGCGGCTCACTGCCTCCACCAACCGTGCTGGCAGCACTCAACCCTGAGACCCTGACCCGGGCCACGTAACAACTTTGAAAAGAGTGGCTCCGTGTTAGGTTTTAAATTACTATTTGCAAAATCAAGCAGACAGATCTTAAAAATTCTAGGAAAGTTGTTTTCTTTTTTCTTTCACGGGCTGGGTGGACATTTCTCCACAGAAGACATGTAAGTGACCAATAAGCAGGGAGCCTGGGGGGCTCAGTCGGTTAAGCGTCCGACTTCGGCTCAGGTCATGATCTCACAGTCCATGGGTTCGAGCCCCACGTTGGGCTCTGTGCTGACACCTCAGAGCCTGGAGCCTGCTTCAGATTCTGTGTCTGCCTCTCTCTCTGCCCCTCCCCTGTTCATGCTGTCTCTCAAAAATAAACTTAAAAAAATTTTTTTTTAAATGGTTAAAATGGCAAACCTTCTGTTGTGTACTTTACTACAACAAAAGAATACTTCAAAGAACCCCTAATTTAAAAAATCAGAGAATAAAGACCTCTGACAAAAATCCCTGGTCCTCCTCCTGTAGATGGGTGTTTGTGACCCGCCCCTATTCACATGTTGAAACCCAGTCCCCAATGTGACGGCATCTGGAGGTGATTAAGTCTCCCTATCCATGAACATGGGATCCATTTATTCAGTGATCTCTTGTAGTTTCAATAGTCTTTACTCTCCTTGGTTAATTCCTATATTTCATTCTTTTTGACATTATTATAAGAATTTTCTAATTTTCTTTTCAACTGGTCACTGTGTATAGGGAAATGCAGCTGATATTTTTATTGACTTTGTATTCTGTTTCTTCACTGAAATAACGTTTTAGATCTAACAGCTTTTCTGCAGAGTTTTTAGACTCTGCAGAGTGGACACTGGTGCGTCCTTAGGGTGCTAGGTCCCAGTCATGTCGGGCTCCAGGCCAGGCACTGAGGCACGCCCTCCCAGGAGCCCCAGGCCCTACACTTACCTCGTGTGGTTGGCCTCTGTCTTAGTCTGGGCCTTCAGTCCACTTGCCCAGTGAAGGGAGAGGCCTCTCCTCTGCCACGTGGCGATGTCCTCTTCATCAGAAACCAAGAGCAGCTCCGAGTTCTTCCCAGATGCTCTGAAAGGGTGCACCAGAGTGTAACCTGAATTCCAAGTGGGACAAGGACAGAGACGGCCTCTGAGCATTACTGGGCTCAGGGGGCAGGCTCTACATGGTGAGGCCTATAGAAAATTCACTTCTGACACAAACAGCCTATTTTTACCACGCACAGGTGGGACTGCAGCTTTTCTGGGGGTGCTTGAGGGGACAGACCAGGCTCTTGACCTCGCCAGGGAGGTGGGCAGTAGACACCACCCACACGACAAAAGTGAACAAGACTCTGTACCAGAGACGATGGTAGGGCGCCTGGGGGGCTCAGTCGGTTAAGCGTCCGACTTCGGCTCGGGTCATGATCTCACGGTTCATGGGTTCGAGCCCCACGTCAGGCTCTGTGCTGACGGCTCAGAGCCTGGAGCTGCTTCAGATTCTGTGTCTCCCTCTCTTTCTCTGTGCCTCCCCTGCTCACACTCTCTCTCTCTCAAAAATAAATCAACATTAAAAAAATTTAAAAAAAAAATAAGAGATGACGGTGGGCAGAGGAGGAGCAGAGTGGGGGAAGGTGGGAGGCGGATGGTAGTTAACCGACCAGGTCAGAGAACGCCTGTTGCACAGGATAAACGCCAGTGGAGAGGCCTTAACCCAGTTAATGCCCAGAAGAGCAACTGAGGCAGTGGGTACGGCCTCCCAGGCCTCCCGGGGTCCAGGCACGGCAAGGCCAGCAGTGGCAGGGCAAAGGGGGAAGGGGGGGGCTGGCAGCTAGCCCGCCCGCCGCCTCCCTGGACCCCAGCATCCAGTGCGTCCTGCTGCAGCCTTCACCGTGGGCTAGGACCACCTCCCAGCAGGCTCCCGGGGCCCAGCTACGCCTCTCCGGGCCCAGCAGCGCGGCCGGCACACGGAGCATACGGCGCGGGGTCAGTGTGACCGGGGAGCAGCGCCGCGTGGGGGAGGCTTTACTGTGAGGTCATGAGGGGACAGGACGGGCCCCATGTTTAGGCCACTGGATGGAGGGGCTGTGGGCACCCTCGGCCGCACCCCTGAAGATTTGAAATCGCCCCCCGCCCCCACCCCAGCACTAGTGAGGCGCTCCGCACGACAGGCGGCGTCAGATCTGCATCTTATCCCGGAGACACGATCTACGATCGGGGCAGGAAAGGTGACCCTACAGACACAGAAGAGCGAGGGGCAGAGACAGAGTGACGCCTCGACAACCCAAGAGGGAAGCCGGGTGGTGGTCACGTCCTGGGCGCGGGAGGCCAGCAGGGAGCGGAGAGTACGGGACAGTCTGGAAGATCAACAAACGCTACAACTCCTTCTTGTTATGTTGCTTTGACGGTTAGTCGTCCCAAAACTCCCGCGGCAGAAACTAGAAACTACAGAGCACGGCTGCGGCGCTAGAGACCACCTGAGCCACGCAAAGTGAGGGAGGTGTTCTTGCTGCACAGAGAAGGTAACGAGAAAATAGATCTTAATGATGTACTCATTTAACCCAAAATGTAACATCGTTATTTCAACACACAAATAATATCAAAAAACCTGAGCTGTCGTATGTATTTTTGACAGGGAGCGTGGTCGTCCGGGCTGTGTGTCACGCCCAGCACGCCACCGTCCAGGCTCATGGGTGTGGCTGCCACGGTGGACACAGAACGGGGTGCAGTGTGTCCACACAGCCATGCTCGCTCTCTCTCAAAGATAAACATTAAAAAAAGTGGGGGAGGAAAGGCTGCGACTCTGGATGGCAGGGCTCCCGACGGTTTGGTCTCTCTAGCGTTTCCGCGTCCCACACGCTCTACGGTAAGTAGGAGCTCCTTCTAAAAGCCCTAAAAAGGATGCTAACGTGCATCCCTCGCGCCAGCTCACCTCGGCTTGGCTTGTTCGGAGTTGCGATGTGGAGAATCCCGAGGAGGAAATTAACGAGCTCGGGGATGAACCTCTGGGACAGGGACACGTAATCCAGGAAGAGGCAGCACACGAACAGGCCCTTCACCGCATCCGGCAGGGACAGCACGGGGCACTGGCGCGGGACACGGGGCACGGTTAGTGGTCAGGAGCAACGTTCCGGAAGGCTGCGCCAGGTAGGCGACCTGGCTTCCCGAGCGCGGCCCCAGAGCCTCGTGTGCAGAGGTGCATGTGTGCGCCCCTTGTGGCGCGGCATTCAGGGGAGGGGCCCCTCGTGCTCTCCCTTCCCAGGGACAGTTGCCCCGGCAAGCAGCGCTGTCGGCCACCAGCCACGTGGGGACCAAGGAAGACGCCACTATCGGGGCTTTTTTAAGCCACGAGGGGAACAGAACCCCACGGTAGCCTTGATGCCTTTGCCTCGCACTTACCTTATCTGGTGTCACAGCCTCTGTAATCACATCTGGGGCCACTTCCAGCCTCAGCGATTCTGACTGGTTGTCTCCACAGGACCCCCCCCACTGCCTGCCTCCCCTCTGCTGGGTGACTTTCCCTCTGCGTGGCCCTAAAGGTCACCAGCCTCGCGCCGCCGTGGGCTCCCTAAGCAGGGCCGAGGACGCACCTTGGTGAGCAGCTGACTCATGCACACAAGCGCAGGCGTCACGACCGGGTGCCGGAAGTCGGAGGTTGGAAACAACATCCCAGCAAGTTTCAAATAAATGAGCTGAAAGACAAAAGCGTTACCACGTGGATTAAAAACAGTAAAGTAGGAGCGCCTGGAGGCTCAGTCGGTTAAGCGTCCGACTTCAGCTCAGGTCATGATCTTGCGGTTCGTGGGTTCAAGCCCGGCGTCGGGCTCTGTGCTGACAGCTCGAAGCCTGGAGCTGCTACAGATTGTGTCTCCCTCTCTCTGACCCTCCCCTGCTCGTGTTCTGTCTCTCTCTTTCAGAAATAAATAAAACATTAAAAAACAACAACAGTAAAGCAAAGCTTAAATGCAGCCTTTACGAAGGGCCCGATGACCAGCGGGCTCTGAGCGACCTGGTGAAGGGCGGGGGAGATGTCCCACCTTCGCCGCCATCTGGTTGCCAGGGCGGTGCCCCCCTGCACACGCTGGCACACGCCCGTTCTCTCACACCACACATGCCACAGTCCCCAGGGCGGCCGCTAGCGCTGACCAACACACCGACAGCCTGGCAGAAGCGGACAGCTCACCCAGGTGACTCCTCTTAAACACATGACCACGTCCTCGGCCCGACTCCCAGTGGGAGCCATGACGGTTTGTCCCTCTCATCAGCAAGGAAAAGCGGCAAGGCTGCTGGCGAGGCTCGGGGACCGGGAGACGGGCAGTGTAGACGGACAAGCACGGGGCCGGGGAGCGGAAAGAAGAATGCGCGGAGTCCCGCTGCACCAGGCTCGGCCCGGCCCCGAAGAACCCGGGTGTGAGCAGTGGCTCTGGGGACACAAACGAGACAGACGAGTCTGCGCACAGTGGACGGTGGCCCCAGAGACGGCCGGAAGAGGGCAATAACCAGAAGCAGTTACTTTTCGGGGACTCACCGGGCCAGGGACGCCCACAGACTACCCACCCCGGGAGGCACCCAAGAGCCTGGTTCAGAGATTAAAGCAGAAAAGCATCGGATCTGCAGATCCTTCATTTTGGCAACCAAGAAGTCCCCCAAAATACCCAGAAGTGGGTCACTCGGAAGATGTCAGGCCCACCCCAAGAGACCCCACCCCCTCCTTCCTGCTCCTGGAGGGGGCTCGACAGTCAGCCACACACCTATAGGAAGGCCTTCAGCAAAGCCCTCGCCCTCACCCTGACCGGGGACTCCAGGGGACACAAGGCACAGGGACGCAGAGGAGGGTCGGGCTCTCCCCCCGCCCCCGCCTCTTCGCTCTGCCAGCAACGGACCACGAGCGTTGGCTAAAGAGCCATCGTGATGGTTGATGGCCCCGGTTTAGTGACCGCTGCACCCAGGCAGTGACGCAGCCCCGTTCCGGGTCAGGTCAGGAACCCTCACGTCAGGTCTCCAGGGCAGGTGTTACTGTAACCATCACCCCCGCTTCCAGACAAGGAGAATGGCCAGGGCCGCGTGGCTCATGTAAGGAACAGGGACGGGGCCCAGGCGCCTGCCTATGCTCCGCTGCACGGTCCCCGCGCCAACACTCCACGGGCAGACAGGCCGCATCTCCTCGGCCACCAATCAGCAGTTCCATGGGAGAGTCTGCTAAGGGCTGAGGCTCAGAGAACGAAGTCGCAGCAACAGCACATGGACGCTGGCTCAGATCCTGGAGAAGCTTTAAAACCAGGCACATAAATCCCGTGCTTTTGTTTGTGAATCACTGTTACTTCGTTCCCACAGAAGAGCCTAGAATACGGGACAGACTGAGTAAGTACTTCTTCAAAGTCACTGAAGTGGACGATGCAGCCCGCGACTGCTACAGGCCACGCAGGTGCCCGGGGGAGCAGACTCCGGGGCAGGGCGGCGCAAGGGCTCGCGTCCTTAGCAAAGCACACTCGTTTTGTTCGCCCGGAGTCTCTGCCACCAAGGCCACACTCAGCCCCACTGGCGTGGAATCAAACCACAGTCTCTTCTCTCTCTTACGAAACACGGTTTAGTTCACTGTTAACGGATACACACCCCTTCCTACCTCGTTCCAGCCTGTTCTCCAGATCAGTCTGGAAGCTCTGGGGTACAGCAACCCTGCCCAACTACACACACTGTACTCAGTCAGCCCTCCCAGTGGCCAAGAGCGCTGGCCCCTGCTCACCACGTCCAGGCCCGGAAACGCCGCCCGGCCTCTGGCCTCAATGGCTCCTTCCATCTCGTGCATGGCGTCTCGGAGGACAAACTGTATGCAGTTGCTTGCAGATTCAGGAAACATCTGGCAAAGATTATATAACTGCCTGTTAATCAGAAACACAGGTCAGGGGAAAATGACTCCGGAGAACAAAAACAAAGAGCCCCCAAACATCATGGCCACCGCTTCCCTGCAAGGTCACCTGCCGACTGAGCACAGGCTCTGGAAGTCCGCGCAGGGACCCACTTTTCCTCTTACTGACCTGCCTGGCGTCCTTGCCGATCCAGATTATTCTTCTGGCAGGGCTTGTTTTATAACAATCTACACTCACTTTTGCCGCCTCTTTAAAAGCCCTGACGCTTTAGTAGCAATGGTAGTTGAAGGATAAGGCCGTCAGGACACATCTTACAGGACAGACTGAGGGGACCGTCCCAAGGCGCTGTCCACAGGGACCCGCCGGGTCCTCACAAGCCCGGCTGTGCTGGCAGACGGTGGCCCGGGGGTTGGGGTGCGCAGCGTGCAGCTGGCCCCAGATAGACACCCATAAGCTGCTGGCACTTACTGACCCTCCCTCCCCGCCCCTCCCTGCAGACGCCCTGGCCTGGGGGCCGCGCTCCAGCAGCTGCCTTCGCGGGGGTTCTAGCACAGGAGGGCGCCAGCCACGGCTGGGCAGGGCGGGAACTGGCGGGCCAGAGGGACTGGCTTCCCTGGCGCTCACAGCACGAGGCTGTCAGGCTCCGCCGAGGCGTGGGCCCAGAGCGGGCAGGTGCCTGCACTCCGTGAAGGAGTCTACCCCGTGTCCCTGACAGCTTTCACCCGTCCGAGCAGAGCCTGAAGTTTTATCGGTGAACAAAACAGAAAGTTAACCTTGAAACAAGTTTAAAGTGTTCAAGTGTCTCAAAGTCGACCTGTTTGCAGTTAGCACCTAGCTCTTGGGGGGGGGGGGTGGAGCGTGCTGACACCAGGCATGGGGGCGTCAGCGCTGAAATCACTGTAGCGGGTGTGGGCAGGGGGCGCCGTTTACAAGGGCAACCTTAGGAACTCCAAGGTGTGTTTTTGTGGCTGTTAAGTAGGATGAAAGTTGTTCAACTCAGCCCCACACTCCAGTTCACCACCGTCAGTACTTACACAACCAATTTATCAATTACTCTGAGGTCTGGTGGGTCGTTTGTGGCCAAATCTCCAACGTACTCCAAAAGGAAGCCAAACAGTTTCTGCAGAAACACGGGTTGGGAAGAGTTCAGCACGGACTCGGGATAAAAACCACAGGTACATAGGGCACTGTCACCCGTGCTCTGGCTGAAGCGCGTGCACACGCCTCAGGGCCACTGATGGGGGCACCCGACGGAACGCGGGCCGAGAAGCCTGCCGGCCGCTGGGGGCGGCGGGTTGGCCGGAGGCTGTGGGCTGAGGTGTGCGCTCACGCAGCGCGGTGATAACACGCAGGCCTGCAGAGCGACCAGAGCACGCCCAGCACTGCGCCCCGTTCCGTAAACATGCGGCACCTACGAGAAGTGGTGGCACTGCCCCAGCTACTCGTCTCCCGAGTCCGGCTCTGCCACCGACGGGTGAGCCACTCCCTGAGTGTGGGCGCCAGAGGTGGCCTGGGGCAGGGCTGGCCCTCGGCCTGCGCCGGGCTCGGGGCCGCGGGGCACGGAGGCCCACCTCACAGCGGTCAGCATGCTGACAGAGCGCGGCGACCCCGACACGTACTTCTAATTTTGCTTTGTTTCCCACCGCGAGGCTGGGGTGGTTGCAGGCCTTGATTCTCTCCAGCACCAAGAGCTGCTCTTCTGTCGATTTCCCCGATAATAAGGACCGTAGTTCCTCGTAGGACTCAGGCGCTGTCGAAAACACAAAAATGTGCCTCAGTTACTGTTTACAGTGAGATGCTCCTGATATCACGGAGGTTGAAAACAGAAAGGAACATCAGGGATATAACTTCACCAAGACACAATTTCACGTGTATTTTTCACAGATACGTTTCGCCTCCCACTCCAGCCACCTCTGTACATCTAAGATGTGCGTCCTCGGCCGAGGTGAGGTGGGACGGCTACGGCCAGTGACCAGGCCGCCGACAACCACCTCAATGAGAAAAGGACACCCCAAGTGCACACGGGGCGCCCAGGTGGCAGTTCTGGTGACCAGGCAGGCTCAGGATGCGGTGCAAGAAGCCAGCGAGCAGAGCGCCGCTGCCCCAGGCTCCCACAGGTCACAGGCCTCGCCCGACGTGTCCCCTCTGGGTGTGACCGTATGCCCTGGGACAACCTGGGGCTGCTCCTCTGCAAACTGGACAACACGATGCACGTTTGGGATGGGATGCCACGTGGCCACGTGACTGGCCGGGTCTGAACGCAGGAAGCCTCCTCCCGGGCGACGACCCAACCTCCCAGGCCCTGGCCTCCGGGGCGGCCGCGATGCCACAACAAAAGGCCGGCTGTGGACAGAGCACAGAGACCTCCTGAGGTCTCCATGTGGGGTCTTCACGCTGCTGCGGGCCCGCAAAACCATCTGCAGCCACACGACAGAGGCCGGACACCGAGGAGGGCGACACCACGAGACTTCAGGGGTGGACAGGTGCCTGTGCGCCCAGAAGTGCGCCCTCGGCCTCCGCTGCGCAGACGCAGCCCCAGTGAGGCAGACCTGTCACCAGGTCGAGGAGGTCACCCCCACACGGAAGGAGACCTGGCGGTCTGTCTACCTGCAAACGTGTAGGGCAGCTCCGCTCTGGCATCCTCTCGAGCTCTGCGACCGTCGCTTTGCGGCCTCTCCCCTGGAGCCCGCCGGGTCTGTCCGTCCTCGCCCACAGGCTGCCTGCTCTCCTCCTCGCTCTCCACGTCCGACTCCAGGTCCGAGTGCCGATCGGAGCCACTGCTCTCCTCGGAGTCCTCCTCACTGGGGTCGTCACCCTGCGCCTCTGCGCCCTTGTCGTCACTGGCTTCCCTGCTTTGCTCTTCCTCGATGCTCACCTTCCCGTCCTAGAGGGGAACAGGCGGGGAAGCGCAGGCCTCACTACCCCGGGAGAGAGCAGCTGGCACGTCCAGGAACCACGTCAGGGCGCTGCGCACAGGCGCACACAGCCTGGGTGACACTCGTCCTCGGGGACCTGGCGCCGCCTCGGGGCGCTCCTGAGCCGCGGGGCCTACTGACGGCCTCCCGAATCCTGGTCGCCAGGGCTCTGGGCAAGGGTTAGCTTGTGCCACAGAGCAGCAAGGCGTGGAGGGCGCACCACTGGCTTTGGGGCTGGGGGACGGCTGGTCAGCAGGGGCTTCCTGACACCTGGGCTGCGCCTGGGGGTGACCCCGACTGTGCCCTCCGGCTGAACAGCCTAGTTTTCTGGGAGCGCTCCCTTTCCTGCCTTGGGTCCTTCTCTGCTCAAAACACTGCATGTGTGTTCCCGCCCTGAAACCTGACTGATTCACTCTAAAGGGGAAAGGGTGTAGACTTTACAGACCTTGTGAACCAAAAACTACCAGTCTTAGCAACTCGATTATTTGATTCAACTCCCTCCACAGCAATGCTAGTCTTCCTAAGCCAAAGTGGCCGACGTTAACAGCACACAACGGGGGGCCAGCGTGCCCCCTCCTCTGGGCAGCCAGCCTGCCGCCAGGAGTGGTACCTGACCCTCCACCCAGACACAGAGCGACCGAGTGGCCTCGGAGATTTACACTTCCCACCCGTGATGCACCCGTTAAACAAGACACGAGAAGCTGTCCTTGTGAATTCAAGGACCAAGCCACCAGCAAAGGCAAACCACCACTCACTTTGTAAGAGAGCAGGCGCCTGTCCTCTTTGTCCAGAACAAAGCCATCGCTCAAGTCATCCGCTGACTGATGTGCTGGTTTAGTAGCGGCCTCCTCATCCTCTCCCAGCATCCTCCGCAGCCTCGCAGCCTGAGTAGGAAGAAAGCAAGGCTGTCTGTCGGGCTCACAGAGCCCAGGGGCAGGAGGCACGGCCCCTGGGGCAGCGGCTGGGAGCCTGCCGCCGTCTCTCTAATGTGCAGGCGCTGGTGGGCATCAAGCAGAAGACTCCCTATTGCACAGAAATGAAAATGAATGCTGTGGCACAAGAATGTTCCAGTCGCAAGGAAGGGAAGCCTGTTGTTCTAAGGACTTTCTGGCTAAATTATGCAGACTTCACTCCCCAGCGCACAGCCACAGAAGAGGGCAGGCACCTCTCGGTGAGGTCTGCGTGTCCCAGCCAGGAGCCCAACTCCACCGCTCTCTGGAAACATGCAGCCGACCAGACGCAGAACCGGGTGCCTACGTTCATCGAGTTTTTTAAATGTTTACTCGCTAACTTAATTTTTTAAAAATGTTTTTTATTTTTGAGATAGCACAAGCAGGGGAGGGACAGAGAGGGACGGAGGATCCGAGGCAGGCTCTGCACTGGCAGCAGAGAGCCCGATGCAAGGCTCGAACTCATGAACTGTGAGACGGTGACCTGAGCTGAAGTCAGATGCCTAACCAACTGAGCCACCCGGGTGTCCTGATTTTTGTTTTAACGTATAAAATTTTAGAAGCCTTCTTTAAGGCACAAAAAAAGTTGAGAAAGCATGCATTATGTTGTTAGCAGTGGCTCTGAGTCACAAGGATCAGAGCAAACATTCACTGGTTAATTGGTATATTTGAATATTATCTGCATTTTTTTGCTTTTATAATAAAAAGGGATATTTATAGTAAAATAAACATAAACTTCAAAGAATCTAAGGGGACTCTGTTGATAAAGCAGTGCGTCTGCGGCGCCCTCACAGAAGGCCGAAGAAAGGCCTCCCACGCGGCCCACGCGGCCCGGCCACAGCCTCACCTCCAGCTTCTCCAGCCGCTCCTGCTCCTCCTTTGCCAGCTCCTCTTCCGTCTTCATCCTGTTAGAGGGCTGGGCCTTCATTTCAAAGCCAAGTTCACGGACCATCATGTCATAGGCGTCAGGCTAGGGGCAGAAAGAAGAAACTTTTCATTTTTAGTTTTTTGTTTTTTTAATGACCTGCACAGCCAGCTTCCTGCACCGCCAGTAACCCCTGGACGCCACAGTAGACAAAGCCAAACCACAGCTGGGTCTTTTCTTCTTGAAAGAAAGCTGTTCCAGTCAGTCTTGGGGACGCTTTAAGTGAGATACATAGAATTTTTCACTGCTGGGAAATTCTTCTGAAAACATACCTGCTTTAATAAAAGTAACCGCTGCTCACTTAGGCATGAAACCCACAAAATGCGGGTTGCGTCAAGGCAGCAGTGACAGTGAGTGACTCACAAAGGATGGACACACGACATGGTCATTGGGTGAAATCCTAGGTGTCTCCTGGAAGCCAGTCACTCATGTGGATGCAGCTTTCCCAACAATTCAGACTAAAAAGAACGCGGTAGGAACCATACACCGTTTGGAGGGGAAACTAAGTAACTGTACACACCGACAACAAAATGTGTGACAGAATTCAAACACCAGCTGACGGAGGCCTCAAGGCTCTGTAACAAAACACGAACATTTTCTTTAGCTTATTCAGAAGCAGACACGGAAGTCACTTTTTGTCTCTTTCTACGCTGACGCTGTATGCATCGGAGAAGTGCCTGCCCACGGGAGACGCAGGGCCTAAGAGGAAACCCTGTGGACGTCAGGACAGGCCAGAGGCGAAGCCGGCCACCACGTTTCCCCAGAGAAAGGTCAATCAACTCAGCTCCCACCTTGGGCTTCTCCTTCCCGTCCCTGCTGTCAGATCTGGGCGTTCTGTGTACGAGCAGAGTCTGGATCTCTTTCCAGTCCTGGTCCAGCTTCTCCGTGAGCTCCAGGGCACCTTCTCGCTGCGCCTGCCTCTCCCTCTGGGGAAAGAGAACAGACGGCGCGTGACGCCGCTGCTGGCCCAACCGAGCCGCCCACGCCAGTGTCCAGGCCACACTCGACGCAGGCTCAACACTTAAAGTATCAGCAGAGTAGAGAAACCGTGAGAAATTCGTATCGTAAAAGCAAAGCTACAGAGTCTCATCACTCAGAAGTAATTTCCTGCTATAAATTACTCATCGAGATGCTCCGAGCAGTCAGCTGGTAGTGAAACCATGATAAAACAATGTCAAAATACAAAACCAACCAGCCAAAACACACCCCTCCCAGAAACACAACAGACTATGAGAAGCATACGCATGGTGAAACCTAAAATATGCCTATTCACAATTAATGCTTCTACTAAGCACACAGAAAATGTTAAACGCAGCCTAAAAACGCACGGGAAAAGTCCCCAAGCGTTCTGTGAGCGTCTCTGTGGCAGAGGCCCCCCCGCGTCTGCCTGTGCACCTTCTCCTGTTTCGATTGTGCGATGAGCTCCTCAATCAGCTCTCTGCGTGACCGTGGGATCCCCCCCTCCTCGCCTTGCTGCTGAGCGGTCTTCTCGTGAAGGAGCACGCCCCCGCCTCCAAAATGGGTGGCGGTCAGCTCGGCTGCGGACAGAGAACAGAAAACGCGTCTGTGAAGCCCGGGTGCTGGCGCAGGACCCGCTCCCTGCCAGGGTCCACCAGCGTCTAGCGGGTGTGGTCGGGAGAACCGACTCCGTGTACCGGAAGAAGCGGTCACATGCAGCAGCTGCACGAGAAATATCCAAGACAAGCCCTCCAAGAAAACCCAGACACGAAATACCACCTGACCTCGACCTGATGGCTAGAAACCCCAAGGATCTACTTGCTAATTACATTCAAGTCTCATGAAAGACCAGCAAATTCAGGTAAACAAGCTGAACTCTGGGTCTTAGGAGGGGAAGTCCAGGATCAGGCCACGTCAGAGCCCACATTCTTCATGCCTTCTCGGGCAAGGACTCAGAGGTCAAAAAGTCCCGAGGCCAGGAACCCGAGCCAGTGGCGTAAGACGCTGCTGTTCGGCCGGCCCCGATTACCAGGGCAGTTACTGTGGGAATCATCCCCTCTGGAACGGAAAGAACACTTAAAACCCAGTATCTCAGATGAGAAAATGGAGGCTCAATCCCCTTCCAGTAATAGGAACAGATCTTCCAGGCTGCCTTCCCCAGCGGGGGCCCCGGTCCCACATGGCTGGCGGCCTCAGCCCCCTGCCCTCGTTCCCCGCCACACCCGTGCAGGCACCGCCGCCACCTGCCGCGATGGCGCCCGCACCTGCTCCCTGCCACAGCCATGCGGGGAACGCGTGCACAGGAAGGAAGCACACAGTACATGACCCACCGACTCCAGCCAGGCTCTGGAGGCTGCCGGTCAGTGACGTCAGGTTTCCACAGCTCAGTCACCAGGGCTGGGGCTCCACTCCCACCCGCTCTCAGCTGAGAAAACTAGAAGCCTCGCCCACCCAACCAGAGAGCGGCTTTGGGGCTCATCCTCCATCCCTCAGTCACTGCACAAGTGGCCGGGCCATCCCTGCCCATCCCTTCCCAGCTACTCAAGGAAACGACCTGAGCAATTCAACCGCCTTTGCCCACATCAAATTTTCTCATTTCTATCGGGTCACTATCTGATTTCTCTCCCGTCAAAGCACTCTGACCACCCTCCCCCCACCCCACGCCCGCGGGCCCTTTAGTCTTGGCTCTTCCATCAGTGCCCTTGGCTTCCTGCCTCCTCACCAGTTCTCACTGTTCCTACCACGAGGGGCTCGGCGCCCTTACCACTCCTTCCTGGAACGACGTCTTCTGTGAGTTCCATCTGCCCTTTCCCTCCCACCCTCAGGCTGCGGCTCCTGGGCTGAGGCCTCCCCAGGATGTCTAACAGCATTTCAAACCGAATGAAGCCAGTCCGGGTCACAATCTAGCCCATCCCAATGTCTGGCAGTCCCACCTTAGCAGGTGCTCAGGTTGAACCCCTGGGAACCCTCGGATCCCTCCCCTCCTCCCACACCCACATCTAATTCACCCAGCAATCCTGGCTCGGACCTACTGGCTGCGTCGGTCCACGCTCTACGCCCTCTGATGGCTTCTGGTCCTCGGTAGAAGCCAGAATCTTTCCTGCGGCCTTGGTAGCTCTGGTCCACCCGCCTGTTACCACCCTCGCTCCAGGCGCGCTCCCACCTGAGGCGAGGGCCTTCCTGGCCACACATGCCCGGGTCTTTACTGGTCACCGCCTTCTTTCTGGGTGAGGCTAAAATCAGGACCACCTGCCTGGGATTTGTTTTACTTTTACCCTACAGCACTTTGCTTTCAATTATTCCATATAATTTAGTGTTTTTATTTACTGTCTGGGTCTCCCTGGCGGTATGTGAGCTGCAGGAGGGTTCTATTCACTGCTATTCTTATAGCACCAAGAACAGTGCCTGCCACATAAGCCAGTATTTATTAAATAAATGATTCCTCTGCTTCTTGGAAAATTTAATTTATCAGAAAACACTATTTAGTATTTTAGTAATTCAAGACTGTTAACAATATTTTCTAAAAATAAAAATTTACAAACCACCAAATGATAAGGTAGTGTTACATGAGAAATTCAGTCACGGGGCGCCTGGGTGGCTCAGTTAAGTGTCTGACTTTTGATTTCAGCTCAGGTCATGGTCTCATGGTTGTGAGATTTAGCCCAAGTCAGGCTCTGTGCTGACAGTGCAGAGTCGGCTTGGGACTCTCTCTCTGACCTTCCCCTGTACGCACGCACTCTCTCAAAATAAACAAACATAAACAAACAAATTCAGTCTCGGAAAAAAACCTTCCATCTTCAGTGTACTTACGGTAGGATTTAACCAGCAAGGTTTTTTGTTGTTTTTTTTTAAATATTTTTATTTATTTCTAGGAGAGAGAGAGAGAGACAGCATGAGCAGGGGAGGGTCAGAGAGAGAGGGAGACACAGACTGAAACAGGCTCCAGGCTCTGAGCCGGCAGTCAGCACAGAGCCCGACGCGGGGCCCGAACCCACAAACTGCGAGAGCATGACCTAAGCGAAAGTCGGACGCTTAACCGACTAAGCCACCCAGGCGCCCCAACCAGCAAGTTTTTTAGATACTATATATTCTGAAATCCAACTACAGTTTATAGTATGTTAGATGCTTGTTTCTATAGTGTGATAGAGAATAACACCGTGGCTTCAGTTTAGAGTCCAACCCCAAGGGATCTGAGGCCTAGCTCCACCTGGCTGTGCAGCCCCAGGCAAGGTCCCAAGGCCCAGCCGCAGCCTCTGCAGCTACACAATGGGGAACAGCAGCTACCTGACAGGGTTGACCCTCACAATGAACCTCTCCTAATCTAGAAGAGTATACGTGCGGCTGGACAAAACAGAATGTGTTTCCTAATGATTCAGTTGCAAAGTTTTAGCAGGTATACATATTTTCAAATATAGGAGCTTTTCTTTTCTCAACTGCCTGGGTTTTGACGAGCTTATAACCAAAATCACAGGACGCCAGGAAACCTCTAACGAACGGTCAAGCTCCTAAGACCCGACACCGGGAGGAAGACATGGAACCCAGCGTCTTCTCCAGACACCCGAGCAACATGGCCTCTTGTGCCAACAAGGCCGAGGCCACTCTCCCTGTGCAGAGCAGGTGGGAAACACGAAGGTGCCAAGCGCCTCCCTTTACCCAGTGACTTATGACCAGCCAGGTGACCGTGTTTCCCAGGTGAGCACGCACAAAAAATCCCCGATAATGAGAAGCGCCAAGAGAAAGGCACAGAAGACGAAGCTGGTCTACCCCCCCAGGCTTGGCAGGGTCGTGGTCCCGTCCGCAGTGCCGTGGAACAGAACCATGGGCTGCTCTAGGTCCTAAGCCTCTGAGGGTGGGATCATCCAAAGTTCAAAGGGCAATCATGGCTTCACTGCCCTAGCTTTCTACACACTATGAAGACAAAAGCTTTAAGACAGCTTTAGTTTCTGCATCTTTCTGAAGATGTTGGAAAATGGCACACTAACTTTTTTTTTAGTTTATTGATTTATTTAAAGTGCACTTGCTTGCATGCACATAAGCAGGGGAGGGGCAGAGAGAGAGGGAGACACAGAGTCCCAAGCAAGGTCTGTGCTGTCAGTCCAGAGCCCCAGGTGGGGCCCGATCACACAAACTGTGAATCACGACCTGAGTCAAAATCAAGAGTTGGACACTCAACCCACTGAGTCACCCAGCTGCCCCAACATTAATTTAATCTGCTTTGTTGCCATCTATAAATAAGAAGCCCAATATTACCCGCTCCCCAAACTGCCATAATTGGTTCCGTGGTAGTAAAGACTATAAGAACCACGTAAACACCGTTGGAACAAACATTCAGACCAAACTGACCAAAGTAACAGCAAAGCAGCGTGGGTCAGTGCAGAGCGTCAGTGAGGTGGGTTCTGCCCAAGGCTCCGACCCACGGACACAGCAACCACCTTGTCTCTGAGCTATGGGTAAAATGAGCTGGGGTGAAGTTCAAGTAAGATAAAGGATATGGAAGTGCTTTCTCGGCCCACAAAGGCGTTTATCTATGCACGTATACTTCTTCTAGACATCGTGAGAAAATACACAGAAGACCCTGTTACGTGCACAATGTCCTGAGAGGCTAGTGATGTAACACTTGCCCCGCATTCTCCTAGGTCTCCAAGAGGGGCAGGAGGAAAGTAATGACGATCAGGCTGGCCCCTGTTCCCGGCCCTTACCAGACAGCGTCCCTCGCTCCTCAGCATCACTGTCACTATCGACGATATCGTTATGTTTTTCGATGTCTGCCAAAGACTGGCCGTAATGAGTTAATTCTTCATCTTCATTGAGGTTGTAGATGCTTTTTTTTTCATGTTGTCGCTGACAGAAGGGGAAAAAAAAATCAGTTTCCTAAAAGTTCCCCACCATTTAATAGCAAAAATCAGCTATTTTTCATTATGTGCATAATGTAACAATGTAGCCCAAGCAGTTTCCAGCTTATTCGGGTCACGTGAGCAGTGATTTGGATGTCAACAGGACGCCTGGATGGCAGCTGGATCGAGGGCCAGCTCGGCCACAGGTCAATCATGCCGCTTTACCTCCCAGGACGCTCCACGGCTGATTCGCTCTCTGCCGACCTGGCCACAGCGCAGCTCAGTCAAGCTCTCCAGGGCGCATCCCCGCTGCGGGCCGGTTCAGATACTCTCCCACCCAACGTGGCCGAGCGTGAGCGCCCACACAGGTGTAAGTGAGCAACGGGGAGGGGCGACGGCCTTCTCCGTGTGCTTGACGCTTGTGCAGTCTACAGCATAAGGCCCGCGTCCACTCGTCCTGCGTACCTGCTGTTCCAGGGCAAACCTCTTGGTCATCTTCTCCTCCGGGCTCATGTCGCTACTGTGTTCCCCCAAACGCTTATCTGTGAACACGTTGGACTTATCCCTTTCCTTGTATTCTTTGAGTAACGTCTGGGTTCGCTGGAAAACAGATCATAGAACAACAACTCACACCGGTCCCGGCAATTCGGAGCGCTGATGGCTTGGGGGTCTTGGTCCCTAAATGTTCCTCCAGGACACAGGATGGTTCCAGTGCCACCTGGTCCTTCTGTACGCCTCAGACCACTGAAACCAACGGTCAAAATCAAGGGGCTGATCTACCAGCTGGAAGCTGGGTTGTCAACACACAATGGAGACAAAGAGGGGACTGCATGGAGCTCAGGGGGTCCTCAGAGCGGGCTTTAGGACTTCCCCGTTAAAGAAGGCTAAAGAAAAACAGCAGCAACCCAAAGAAAGCAGGACGCTGGAGCACGCGGGGCGGGGGGGTGGGGGGGGCTCCGTCAGGGGCAGAAGCTGGAGGAGCTGAGGCTCTGGCCGAGAGGGAAGGAAATATGAACAAGGACTTGAAGAAGAAGCCATATGTGTAAACCGTAACGTCATGACCAATTACAGACACAAACACTGCGGTAAGGAGTGCCTGTTTTCTCTTTGGTACATATATGCCTTTATTCATATGCTCAGTCAATCCTTGTTACTCTCGGATTCCAGGTCTGTAAATCTGTCTGCTTTGCTGAAGGTTATTTGTGACCCCAAACCACTACCTGCAGACTCTGGGTGGCACCTAACCTCTCCGTCCACCAGAGGCCTCACCCATAAAAAGGAAGTCATGGTAGTACTCGCCTCAGGCTGTTGGTACGGGAGCACAAGAGTTAACAAAAGATGGCTCAGGACAGAGCCGGGCACAGGTAAGTGCTATGTGTCACACTCAAGTCTGGGTTTGGGTCTTAGCTCACCCACTCCCCACCTGAAGAAAGTTCTGGAACTGTTCTTGTCTCAGGTTCCTCATGTATAAATGGAGATAATAGCAGTACTTCCCTCAAAAGGCTGGTAGCAAAGCAGCCAACAGTGAGGATTCCATATGAACTCCTTAGCACAACAGCCATTCCATTGTGAGGGATCAAGGACATGTTAACTCTGATTATTTCAAAGTTCTGTGAGAAATGGGGAAGGTGAGGCACAGCTTTGAGACTGTGCTGGGACCGCACACAGGTGCTGCCCAAAGCGCTGCCACGGACCAGAGTGAGGGCACACAGGATGGTGAATTTACTTCCTTCCGAGGGACCCTCACTGAGAAGACCCAGCCCCTCCCTCCTCCGCCTGGTCTGCTCCCCGCCCCCACATCAAGCTTTAACTGCCCTGGATGACCGGAGTTCCCTTGGGACAGCTCTGACCTCTTCCTCCCCATGCTGTGCCGCACTCTACATGACAGCGGACAACAGGGGACAGTGTACCTTCGTCCCCACCTGTAACATTCCGCTCACCCTTCCCAGCTGGAGTGTGACTCCCGCTATGAAGAAGTTTCTGATTTTCCTATTATACCTTCTCCAGACTGTGAGCCCCCAAAGCACTCAGGTCCTACTTCTGATTCCTTCAAAGGCTTGTTTCTACTAAGTACTTGGGCCAAGCACTGGGGATCAGAGGAGGCACTAACACTCCCCCCCAGGCCACGGGCACAGAGCATGCGGTGCCTGGGGCACACAGACGCGTGGCACCTGACAGGTGAATCTGTCAGGTACTCCAGGCACAAGCAACCTGCCCTGTTTGGGCTGCAGGGCTTAGGAAAGTATCAGAGGTGGTGACCTGCACTGGCCCTCAGGAGCTTGGGGGGATAAGGCAGGCTTTTTTGGACAAACTGAGTTGTACAAGGCAAAGCAAGAACAACAGGTTGGGGCCAGATTGTGAAAGGAGTCCGAGAATGACAAGCTGAGAAGTTTAAAAATAATAATAATAATAATAATAATAATAATGCTCCCTATGTGCTAAATGTGCTATTTATTTAAAGAAAGATGAATATATCATCCCCACTTTAGAAATGAGAATACTGAGGCTTAGGAGGTGAAAATAAACACGGCTCCTATAGAGCCCACACCAACCCATCCACAAGCCTGCCCTGGGGTTTACCACGGGGAACCCATCACAGGCCATCCTAAGTTTGTCGTGGCCGCTCCTGGCAGCAAGGATGCCGTCTGCTTCAGTTCAGAGACGGACTGGATGTGTACAGCAGAACAGTCGGCTGTAACTAAAAGGCAGGAGGTCGAGTCTCAGGCGCCCTTATCTCCCAGCAGCTAGAATAGAACTGAGACATTCAAACCAGTGCAACCCCTGCCCCCCTTACCAGTGCGAGACCTTGGGAAACGTACAGCCCTTTCTGCACCTTAATTCTCCCACCTATCTTTTCAATAAGATACTAATGGATCTTCCTTACAGAAGCAACAAATACCCTAAACAAACCAAAGAACTGTCTCAGAGGCTCTGCATAGATCAGAGAATGCCATCCGCAGATGACTCTGGGGCGCTAACTAGCTAAGTACAGGAAAGAAGGAAGCATTTGTTTCCTCTCAAGGGACAAGGTGCTGCGCTTGGAAACACAGAAACGCTTGCTCTCCAAACGTCTGGGAAGCATCGCGCGCATGCCCGCCCGGAGGAGAAGGGCACCCACAATCCCCGAGCCAGCAGCTCAGGGTCCCCAAGAGGCAAGGCTGTAGGAGGTGCGCGCAGGGGTCACGGGACACAGAAGCGATGACCCGCGCCGAAGGGAGACCAGCACGCGTGTACCGCACCCCGGCGGAGCAGCAGCCGCTTTTCAGGGCAAGGTCACTGCCGCGCGTGCAAGGGAAGCCGGCGCGAAGGCTCACACGACACACCAGACACGGAACGCCCAGCTGTGCCGGCAGGACCCTGACGCCTGGAAAGAAGCGCATCGGTCTCTCCTGGCGGCCCCGAGGCGGCAGCGCCCATCGGACCCCGTTTCACCGCCGAGGGACCGCGGCGGCCCCGGGCACGTGCCCGCGGCTACTACCCCCGACTCCCGTTTCACAGCCCCGGGCACGTCCCCGCCGCTCCCCCCGACTCCCGTTTCACCGCCGGGGGACCGCAGCGGCCCCGGGCACGTCCCGGCTACGCGACCCCGCCGCTCACCTTCTGGATGGCCCGCGCACGCGACACCCCAGGCAGCCCCACGGCGTGGCGCGCCTTCCTGCCCAGGACCGGGAACTTCTGCCGGTTGACCTTCACTTCGAACGGGTTGGGGCTGGGCCTCGCGCGGCCTCCAGCCGGGGCCCCCAGGGCCTTCCCGCGCGCCGCGGCCCTTCCAGCCTTCCCCATGGCTCGCCCGCGTCACCGCCGAGGCGCACTCGGTAGGCCGCACGGCACGGCTCACTCCCTCCGGAAACGCACGCGGGAACCTGAGAATCGCCCCGCCCGCGTCCCGCGAGAACTGAGCCAGCGAGAAGCACACGCGACCGGCAAGCTGGCCTACGCGCCTACAGGCGAGCGACCACAACTCCCAGCAGGCCACGCTCTCGCGACCCGCCGCTTCCTCCCTGCGCGCGGCCTTCTGGGAGCGGTGCTGCCCTGCGTGGCGCCGCACGGGCGGCGACGGGAGCCCTGCAGCTCCCTCTTCTGGGAAGCCGTTGGAGGGAGGCGGCCGCTGTGAGAGTAGGTAGCGGCGGCGGCGGCGGCAGTAGCCGTCGCCGCCGGGGGGTGGGGAGCCCGAGCCAGTGAGCCCCTCCTTGGGGTGGGGCTCGGCGGAGACTCGGGGCGGCCGGGGAGCTGGGCCCTGAGGGGAGCGTTGCCCGTACAAGACTCGCACGATGGGGCCGAGAGCCCGGGCCCTGGCGCGGCCGGGGTGACCGCAGAGTCCCGCGGCAGCCAGGCTTCCAGCTCCCGTCGCCCCAGCAGCTTCCCCGCTGGAAGCCAGGGCCGCGAGGGCGAGGGCGAGGGCTCCCCCGGCCGGCGCCAGCAGCGTCGGAAGCAGCCTCGGCGTCGCAGGCGGTCCCGGAGGCAGCAAAGCGGGTGGTGGCCGTGGCGGCAGCAAAAGCAGCGGCGGGGACGGAGGCGGCGGCGGCGGCTGGAGGAGCAGCAGCCGGAACCGCGACAGCTGGAGCGGCGGCGGGGCAGCTCCCCCGGGCCCTCTTTGGGGCCCCCCGAGCAGGTGGCGCCCTGCGAGCAATGCCCGAAGGCGGCGGAGCCCTCTCCCCCTGCCCCTCGCGCCCGCCGGGCCCGGCAGCGGCGGCCGCAGCGGCAGCGGCGTCGGTTTGGGGGCATGGAGCTCGAGAACTTCTTGGCCAACTCGCTGCTGCTGAAAGCGCGCCAAGGTGGGTGCACAGGGGCGCCCGACACCCCGCAAGCTCAGATCCTCCCGGGAACCCCGAGCCCCAAAGAGCCCCGACCCACTGTCCACTGGGCCTCGCTGTCCGGACCGGCCAGACAGCGAGGGGTCAGCTTGGGCTGCTCTGTGCGCCCCCCTGCACCCCGTTCAGCACCTCTGGGCCCGAGTAACGGTAGCCTGCGTCCCGCTCTTGTGCATATGAACCTGCTGCTCAGTCCCGCCGCCTCCCGGCAGCCTCCAGGACGTCGGCACCAGGCTAGCAGGGTCCCGTCCGCAGGAGGAGGAAGCCAGACCCCCGAGCGAAGCCGGCCAGAAACAGCCATGCCCTGGTGGCCTCTAAAGGACGGAGAAGACAATCCTGGTAGCGACCCGAAGCAAGAACCTTCCATGAGTCTCTGTGCAGTTATTTTAGCTTAGCTTTTTGGTTTTGAGGTTTGATCCGAGGCTTCATGGTGTGTGGAGTGGGTTTCACCAGGCAGGACGTGGTGACCGATTAAACAGTTCAGTAAGAATTCGCCCTCATATCCACGTAAGAGGCGCGGTTGAGCCAGGCCGTCCGCTCAGAGATGCCTCTGTCTGCACTGTCCTTCTCTTGCCTCCCAAGAGATTGGAGAGCTGGCGACAAAGCTGCGCATGGACAGCGCTCCAGCCGCTTTGCTCCTACGGGTCAGTGATGGAGCAGGTGTTTGGTGTTTGTGCTGCGATCGCGGTAAATGCCCGGTTCAGGGGCCATACTGACCAGAACTCCAGGGTTAAGATAATCTGGATGACCACCTCCCAGGGCTCGAGTCCGGTCCTGGGCTCACGTGTCCATGCGGTGGGCCTCCGGGTGACTTGGGATGCTTGTTGGGAAGCATCAATAAATTCATCTTGTGAGTAGAATAGTGAATAACTTTCGGTGATGGAACTTAACCTGGAATACAGCTATTTCAGATCTTTGGGTTTTGGTTCCTATTTACTCCTCTCCCCTTCCCATTAGTGTCCTGAGTGTTTTTTAAGAGGAAAGAGCTTCATTAGAAAGTGCCTGGTTTCTCAACTCATTGGAGACTTGAGTCAGAAACGTTCAACAGTTCTCGAAGTAACAGTGAACTGGTGCAGAGAATTAAATACCTAAGTTAGGGCTTACATTTATTTAATTCTTTATCGAGAATTAAGAAGTAGTGAATTTTTATTTTGTAAAGTGTTTCTTATATTAAGAGTTGAAAATAGGAACTTCATCTTCTCGAATATTTTTGTGTGTTAACCTGCATTTTTAAAAAATTTATTTTTACATTTACTTATTTTTGAGAGGCAGAGCACAAGTGGGGGGAGGGTCAGAGAGAGAGGGAGACACAGAATCCGAAGCAGCTCCAGGCTCTGAGCTGTCAGCACAGAGCCCGATGTGGGGCTCAAACTCACAAACCTGACCTGATCATGACCTGACCTGAAGTTGGACGCTTAACGGACTGAGCCACCCAGGCGCCCCTAACTTGCATTGCTGAATGGAAGACTGAGGATGGGTGGGAAGAAATTGGGTCTTATTTCTCTATTAAGACAGCGGGGGTCCCTCAGAGTAGTATGTTTCAGTGGAGTACTTGATTGTGTCTTGTGTTTCTCACTTTGAACTCAAGACTGGTCATAGAAGTGAACCATGATCTGGGCGCCCCAAGGGGCTCAGGTGGTTGAGCGTCAGACTTCAGCTTAGGTCATGATCTCACGGTTGGTGAGTTCAAGCCATGTGTCAGGCCCTGTGCTTAAGCTCGGAGCCTGCTTCGGATTCTGTGTCTTCCGTCTCTCTCTCCCCCTCCTCCACTCATGCTCTGTCTCTCTCTCTCAAAAAAAAGTGAACCATGATCCGTGGAAATCTGGTCTGACCCGTGCTAAACCTGTTTTCTTTCCACTGTACCATCATCCCTCGGTATAATGTACAAAAACGGACTGTTATATCAAGCAGATTTCCTTATGGTGCTGTAGAGATTTGGTGACAAGGTAAATATAAGTGCTTTCTAAGTACTAAATACTTAAAACCAGCATTTTCTACCATAAAGCCCAAGATTGCACGATACTTTGAAAAGACTTTCAATTTTTGTTCCCTAAAGTATTAAGTCATCATGTTGTGATTCTTATGTGGTCTGCCCCCGTCAGCGGATAGTGCCTACTCCTGTGTTTGGAAAGAGTGATTCTGTCCGTGTGGTTAATGCTCAGAGAAGTTGAATATGAGATATCAGAAATACAGTACTAGATGCTGAGTGTTGATTGTAACTGAGGGCTGTTCTCCCAAGTCGAAGCAGCTTATTTGCTTTAGAGGCTCCTAGAGTGTGTCCTCGCAGGTGTCTTCTTGGACATGTGTGTGCATGGGTAGTTCCTCATGTAAGTGTTTCTGGCTCACGTGTTAGAGAATTGTTTGAAAGGGGCGTACGTAGCAGAGCAGTTATCTGCTGGCTTTGGGAACTACACTGTTGGCTTAATAGTACGAGTGAGGCCATTTTCTGGGTTTATTTCAAATAAATTCAATCTCTCTCTTTATGGCCTCAAACAGATTTGTTAAACGAATTAACAGGATTTGTTAAAACCGTTCCTCCCTTTCTGGAATGCTGGTGGCGACAGCCACATTGACAAAGTTGTTTGTCACTCTGCCAGCGCGCTTTGAGAAGGTAGAAGACGATCAAACTGTTAATAAAGTAAGACACAGAATCACTGCTTTTTCCCCCCCAACTTTTAGGATTTTTTCCCATGTAACACATTTGTTAGGCAGTTCGTGAATTTTTGGAGCTTTCAATGATAACCTTAAATCGTTTCACATCATACTCTGAGGAGATTTTCGCCCCATTTTCTCTCTTGGAGAAATTGAGAGCATAAATACAGAGGGAAGAATAAAATGTGTGCACGTCTAATGTGGATTTTGGTCTTTTATACAGCAATTCCATTCTGATTACAGATGATAGCATTATTTGCAGTTTGTTTAGCGTCTGACGCATAGTTACTGTCTCTGTTATCATTTGTGCCCTTGCTAAGGCTTCCTCCCCAGGATTTTGGTGACAAGGAATCTCTGGAAGTAGCTTATAAACCCTTTGATTCCAGAGGTATAGCGACCAATGTTTGTGTTCCCTTCATTGCACTCAGTTTGATCCCACAACCAAGAACTACTTAATGCAGTTTTGTTGTAAAAAATAACAACTTTTGTGTTCATTTGGACACATTCTTGTATGCTTACCATTCCCACCTCCCGTACAGCACAGTGGGCCCTCCTTGCCTTTTTCTTGTTCAGTTCTTTCCACCCTTCAGAATCCAGTCTGCCTTTGTCGTTGTAGCGTGTTCTGTTCTTCCAGTTCAGAGATGTTCTCTGCCCTTTGGGAATTTGGAACTTGGGGTTCACGACAGCATAGTCAATGATTCTTTTTCCAGCTAAATTGCAGTCTGTGTATAGGCAGGGCATAGCTCTTACCTTCACTTCTTTTTTTTTTTTTTTTTTTTTTTTTTATTTCTAGGAGAGAGAGAGAGAGAGACAGCGTGAGCAGGGGAGGGTCAGAGAGAGAGGGAGTCACAGACTGAAACAGGCTCCAGGCTCCGAGCTGGCAGTCAGCACAGAGCCCGATGCGGGGCTCGAACCCACGAACCGCGAGATCACGACCCAAGCGAAAGTCGGACGCTCAACCGACTAAGCCACCCAGGCGCCCCTCTTACCTTCACTTCTTATCCCTTTCAGTGCTGGCTGCCCATGTAACTGGTACTTGGTAAACAATTGGAGATTAAGGGCGTGATTTGTTATTTTGCTAAATTCAAGAAAGAGAAAGTGAAATTCATGTTGAAAACAAAAGGATTGGCTGGACTTGGAGGGAATAAAGTGTGTTCCAGGCTTGCTGCGAGCCTGGTGGCTGATAAGGTGGCTACCATTAGTGAGGGCTTGCTCTGCCCCGGCAGCGTGCTGGATTCCTGTTGGCCGTCATCCCAGCTAGTCCTGTCCCACTTCGCCCAACCTGTGAAACCTGACAGGTGACACACAGTGTGGTAACGAGCGCAGTGCTTGGTGCTCAGGAAGTGCTCAGTAAATAGCAGTAGTTGTGCTTGTAGATCTTATGGTTCTGTCCAGTGTCACAATAAGAGCTGGTACTTTAATGTGCAGCTGTGTTAATTGACCTTGAATCTGGTTCTCTGTAGTCCATTCTCAGTGTTAGATTTCCCAAAAGCATAGCTTTCCTTTTCCTAAATTCTTCCATGCGGGAGGTCCCTGAATCTCATTCATCCTGACCTTTGTTATTTCTCACGTCCGTCCCTTTGTCTCTGCTTTCACCTAGTTCCCCCTGCCCCACTCCGATTGTCTCCTGTACCTCCTAAGTTGATGGAGGCCAAGTTGACTGAGGGCAAGAATTTCCTAGCTGGACTCTCCTTTATCGTCCCCGGTGCTGCTAGAACAGTCCTTCTAAAATGCAGATTTGTTCTCTTACTCTTGTGTTTAGAATTTGACCTTAGACCTCCATTCCGGGTCAAGTATAAACCCCTTATAGTGCATCATGGCCCAGAGGGTCCTCCCTGACCTCAGTGACCGGCTCTTCTCTCCTGGTCCATTTGCGGCTAAGTGTGTGGGAGCACATGATGCCGCGCTAGCCGGTGTCGCCCGGTTCTTCCTTCACGCTCCGGCTCAGGCGTCTTTTCTGCGAACTTTGACACTCCCGCCAGAGGCTTGATCATTCCATCTTTTGTGCCACTGCTGTGCCCGGGGCAAGCTGTTACTGCACTGGGCAGACTCAGAACGCTCTGGATGTCCCTTTCGTGTCACCAGCATCTAGCACTGTGCCGGCCCCCAGTATGTGCTCTGCAGGTGCGAACTGTGGCCAAAAGAGCCCGTCTCAGGAATTCTCTCAGTTCCCGCGGTAGCCAGAAATTCAGGTTTCTTTTTTTTTTTTCTATATTTTTTTATTTATTTCTAGGAGAGAGAGAGATACAGCGTGAGCAGGGGAGGGTCAGAGAGAGAGGGAGTCACAGACTGAAACAGGCTCCAGGCTCTGA